AAATAAAACCACGACGTTTCGGAAACTGGATCTGTTTCCGTCCTCAGGTGAAGGAAAACACCTATTCAGTTGGGTCCCTTAGAAAGAGCTAGCCTCAATCACTGGATTCACCTGAGGACGGAAACAGATCCAGTTTCCGAAACGTCGTGGTTTTATTTGTTATCTTAAAAACCAGGACGATGGATAAAGTCCAAAAACCCAACATATCAGTACGCATTATTACGTTCAAAAGGAAGCACAACTTCTGAGTCTTCTATCGATAAATAAATGTTTTGTCTTCTATAGTTTATAAATAAAGGCCCTACAGTGATACCTTTATTTATTTTCTAATGCATTACTTATATCACTAAATTTGTCATTTGTTTGTGTTCTAAGATTTTGGCTTGTAGGGCTACGTTTTGCTTCACTAATCTGGATTATCACTTAATCTGAATGATCTCTCTTCCTCCCACAATTTAAACCGGAATGGCGAGGGTTTATTGTGTTTAATTCTTAAACTAACGAAGTCATGTTCGAGAGGCTAACAGTCCTGCTGCATATTCAGGAGTTCTCATCTTCATATCTCTGTCCGGAAATCGCCTATCGCGGTTTTCCTGAAACACTCGAGACAAATGCCGGGCTAGTACCTCACATTACTCTACGGTCGCTCTCGTCGACAACTAATCAATCCGTTACTAGTTCAATTAGTATACACCAACAGCCTCAGCTACTGACAGCGTTGTTAAATAAGCAATTAATAAATACGCAGTTTCAGTAACTCAGAAGTACTGAAATATTGTAGGAAGTTCATAAACTATTCTTTTTTTGACAGCCCGATGTTTATTGACTAATGTATGAGTCATAATTCTGTGCGATTACTCCTATAGATAGGTGGGTGTTTATTTAACCGCGCCTTTTCAACTGCGCTTGTTGTACAGTCCGGTGCATAATGTGAGTGCTGCATATCCAGTTTCATCAGAACCACCAATGGGCCTATTATGCAACAGACGCTTCCGCTGTACGACAGACAGTGACTCCATGAGCGCCCTACATGACGGTACTACCTGGAGAGACTGAGGAAAAGCATGAAACAATGCTAGGATAACCGGCATACGGGCAGATAATCAAACCCATAATTTACCGAATACGAAGAAGCAGTGCTGCTCACTCCATGTCGATGTGTTGACATCAAAGCCAGTGACTTAAAACACTCTAATACGTTCCACGAAAGCTGCCCTGTGAACGACAGTGAGCAGTTTGGTTACGTGCCCGTAAACATTCCTTTAATTATTAAACATGCGGGCCATGTATGCTATCAAGTATATTTTTAAATCCAGTAAGGCTAAATATAATCTATATTCTTTAGGACGTCACCGCATCGATAAACCACTGGAAAAGTGGCAGTAAAATAACCTTTCTTTGCGCTTAATTATCACATACCACAACGTACAATTCTCTCCGGCAAACAAGTTTCATTTGCCCTCTCAAATCATATTTAGTGTATTACAATATATTGTCTTGTGGATTAACTTAACTCTTTAAATACTGGGAGAGAGTCAAACTTACTTTGCGACTGGCTGTCTATCGACAATCACTTCATCTTAGCGCCAAGCCCCTTTAGGATCACGACCAGAGTTTTCTCACGAGTGGCTGCCTACCGCCGATCGGTTCGTATGGGCGCCAAGTCCCTTGAGGATCGCGACCAGAGATTTGTTTTTTCATCGTGTCTATAATTCCTTCAAAATGATCCATAAACATCCAGTCCGTACCTCACAGGAAACACATTACGTCTCCGCTACAAAGCCCAACCATTTAATGCTGTTTGTGAGAATCATACCGAACACATGAATACACTGTTTGGGCAGAATGCAGAGTTTTAGCATGTTAAAGCAGGTGGTACACAGGATTTAAAGGGTTAATCCATAATTTTCTAGGAAACTGGGAACAGTTCCAATCTGAAAGAATGCTATAGCCACAACAATCTGTATAATTTCGTTGCAGCTGTGACTGATATAACGACGCTGTTAGTATGGGAGCCGCCAAGATTTTTTTTTTCCAGGGAGGTTGGGGGGAGGAGGGCAGCCGGGAAACCTGCTAACCACAGACTTACGTTCAAACCGTTTGAGGCCACTTTACTTATCGCCCTTGAATATTCAGGGTAGGCAAATACTTTTTCTTTTTTGTAAGCCTGTAATTTTTGGTATTACTATCTGGTACATTTTCTTTCTCAAGTTTGATTTTCTCATAATATCCAGGTGGGGGCCAGACGTCCGGCTTGACCCTTCCCGGCGGCGCTCGTGACTACAAGAGTTAATTAATTATGGTGTAGGCCAGTGGTTCTCAAACTTTTTACCTCTGAGCCCCCCCTGACAAGAGAAAATACTCTCAGGCCCCCAGCCTGTTTTTTTTATCAAAATAGAAGTCATGGTATGTTTGACGTTTAATTCAGTTTATTTTGTGTTTTTCTACATACTATTTAGCAGTTTTCTTACTCAAACTTAAAGTATCACAACTAGGCCTACAACAGAAATTACTTTTAACACTTGCAATTAACCAAAATATGTTTTGAAATGAAATGATATTTAACTAACAAGTATTTAATTTTCTTCTGCAAAGAAAGTCAAACATTTAAATGTCAAAGTTCAGTGTGATGGATGGGCCTGCTTTTGAGAACAAAGTTTATCAAAACGTGGTGTAATATCAGAAATGGCCACTCTAACTTCTTTAGTGATATTTAGCCTTGAACGATACTTTGACTTTATAGCTGCCAAAGCAGAAAAACCTGTCTTGCATAAGTAAGTTGTTGCGAAAGGGATCAGGATCTTCAATGCTTTTTGGCTCAAAGTTGGGAATTCCGTGCCAATATGTATCCAGAACTCCAGCAAAGACAATTCCTTAAATTTATTTTTTAATGAAGTATCACTAGTGAGATCAATGAGTCGTTCTTGCTCATTTACATTCAGAGATGATGGCCCAGGAGCACTTTTGAATGGATTTTCAATCCAATTAAATTCATCAAAATCATTGCAAAAGTATTTTTCAAAATGAACTTTCGACATTATGAGACGGTCAAGTAGGCAGCTTTTTATGTCCATTGGAAGCACTGGATTATCAGTGTCTTGTACCATTGACACCAGAGTAGGGAACATGTCTACCATGTCACTTTCCATACTGTTTCTCCAGAGCTCTAATTTTCTCATGAATGCCTTTACTTTGTCATTCCAAGAAAGCACAGTTGCCTCATTCCCTTGAAGTGACGTGGTGAGGATATTTAGTTTCTCAAATATATCTGTGAGGTAAGCCATTTTCAATAAAAAAAATCCTTGTTGCTGAAACTGTGCCAGTGAGTGATTTTCCCCATTTAAAAAACAGAACACCTCATGCCTCAGCTTAAACATTCTCTTTAATACCTTGTCTCTTGAAAACCTTCGAGCATCACTACAAAACAACAGAGCAGTGTGTTCGGCACCCATTTCCTCACACGGGGTTTTAAAAAGTCTAGACTTCAGAGGATGCGGCTGCTGCCGAACTATCAACGCTGTCTCTGGCATACGCGTTTTATAATTGCCGGTAAAGAGAATAATTATTAGTTATTTTGAAATTCATGATAATTAAAGCCTGTACTCATCAAAAGTTTTTCTATGTGTATTTTTATTTTTTGTTACTTTTCTACTTGATTTATGGCAGTTTTAATTTTTATCTGTGGGAAAGTATGCTGCGCCCCCCTTTCAAGCCCCCCTGGGGGTCGCGCCTCACAGTTTGAGAACCACTGGTGTAGGCTATTACAAAAAACACACACACATCTAAAACATCTTTGTATTGTCATGGAAATCAGAAGTGGTTGGCACAGGATTAGCCTCATGTGCTGGTTTCGAGAAATTGGAGACTCCTTTCAGCATAAGTCTGTTACAGTTGTCTGACGGAACTTCTCAGCTGTTTAAAGCAGGGTAAGCCTACCCAGTATCGCGACATACAATCTAAACTCGCCACGATGTCAGATACCGATATGGGTTCCACAGTTATTTTTGACTGCACAGGTAGCTCCACTTTGGAAATAATATAATGAATTTACTTCATTTACGTACGTAAAGCTTAATTTTACGTTCACGTAATATGTTTTGACACTGGGCAATAGCACATTATCGACTTCCAGATGTTCATGAAGAGTTGTATGTAAGAATTTGTCTTGTGTGTCATCTTAGTTCGACGTGTATGTAAATGTATTAAAAATCCGAATCTACAAGCTTAAATATCGAAATCTCGGATTTACTTCAGTACACGCCTCCTTACACAGCTGAAAATCTGTAACGAGCTTTGCACATAGTTCTTGTTTCCGTGATGAGTGTCAATACGAATGCGCCTATTTAATCGGTAGATGGACATCTCTGATCTCAGACCATGTATCTAAACCACAGGATTATCATCACGCGTCAGTTATTTTCTAATACATGTCTGCGTAACTAATATAGTAGTCATCCATGTAACAAAACCAAGCAAGTGGCGGGAATGAAACTGTGCGTAACACAGGTTACCTTCGGCGACACTACACAATAGAAATGTCAGCGTGGAAAGAGTTTAGTCTAAAATGGGTTACTTACCCTGTTTATAAGACTTTGAATCGCCACCGATTCTTGACGAGGTCTGGAGACTACCGCCACTAGCTGTCGCGTGTCCTGGCACCTTACCAAACCCCGCGCAACTGGTGGCACACGCCCGCCGAAACTGCAATAGTTCACTCCATGGACTCTCAGAGAGCGCCAATATCAACGTAAGATCCGGTGACATACATTCTGTTTGTGGGGTACCATTTCATACCGAGGATCTCTGTTTCGATATTCAATATCGACCTCCACGAAGTATCGTTTGAAAAGCTTTTGTCGTATATGTATGTAGCAGTATGTAATAAAGGTGGTATGGATGTGGAATGGTTTGTTTTACGGAATGAAGCCGTTTTGGGTGTCAGCCGCGTCAGTTTGGAGTTTCGTCCAGTTTTGTAAGCTCACTCTATCATAGATGATGGCAGGACAGTCATATTTATCGAAAGCGATGCAATAGTCTATAATCTTCTGTGAACATTGTAAATAATCCGTGCTGTAAATGTTGCAATAGTGAAATATGGCGGATACGTCAGTAGGAAACATTAATGATGCATCAGATATTTCAGTGACAGAGTCGCTGAATCTTAATATTGAAGAGGTAATTTAAATTAAGAAAAGCACTATCTGAGGTTGAGTTAATGGATATGCGTTTATGACAGAATGGTCAACCTCCTAAATCACGTAGTTCAGTAGGGGTCACTGGCTGCACATGACAGTGGTGCACATGTAATAATTCACTTTACAAGTCTAGTAGTATTGTAGCAGCAGTGCAATTTAGTGTAAGGGAAAGACAACAGTTGTGTTTCCTGCATAGTATTCACTCCGTGTTTCTCAGTGCCAGCCCCAAATAATTATACTTTTCAAATATTTGTCACATTGAAATTATATCTTCGTTTTTATTTGTTAGAGTATATTCGACTTGAGAGTAGATTCCAAGATGTTTTCAATGGAACATGAAAAACATAAGTGACTGTAAATGATTGTAACCTGATGAATGGCAGGAGGACGACTTCCTCGAAGGATTTGATGATGAGCATCACAGCAGTCTGTACTGGCGGCTATAAAGTAATGGATTGTCAGATTATGTTTTCTGTTTGCCCTCTGTACCATAAGAGCCCAGCATTTATTTTTATATTTATGGGTTATTTAACTGCACCTTCAGTAGCAAAAGTATATAGTGTCTGATGGTAAGGTAATTGATGAATCATAAATTACAAAGGATTTGGAAGGAAGTGGTTATGGCTTTTGCTTGAAAGGACTGAGGAAAACCATGTGAAACCTCAGGGTACCTGGTGCCCTAGCCAAGGTGTAAACCTAGTATCTTCAAAAGAGAGGTCTAGAACGTTGCCTTTAGATTACCTTGTTTGGTGTAGCCTAACAAAATTCAATGTTAGGTCAGGTTAGGTGTAGCAAATGCAGTGAAGAACTAATGGCACTTTTAATATATTTTACTAAAGAAAAAGAGAATAGTATTTTTTATGGTTACAATTGGTTGGTATTGAATGGAACAAAGAGAAGAGGACTGCCTAGCCCATTTTATATCACAGTTTTTCCAAAATAATTTATCTAGTCTGTGGAGGTAACATGCATTTTTCTTGACTTCGCATTTAAAGTCTAAAAGTGAAAACCAGGTAAAATACAGAATATGGTTTCAGTTTCCCACTTACCATGTTTCTGGTCAATATTTTATTTTGTTCCTGCAGTGGTCCTCCCTGATAATGTTAAAAGTATTTAGGTTATGTGAGGTTATGTTATTAGGTTAGCAGAGCTTATAGCAAATCAAAGCGTGCCGCAGTTGTATTAATATGTATCATAACTGAGTTCAGTGTCATTCGTGCAGAAGTGATATTGGACAAGGATTTCAGTTTCTTATCTCAAGAAGATCAGTAAGAACTTAATAACTGTGTAAGCCACAAAGTGGCTCAATGTGTGGTCGGTGATGTTCTGCCAAGTAGCATTATGAGGTCAGTAGATCCTTAGTTTTGTATTGAAGGTAACAGGTGGAATCCTTGTGTCAGACACTTTGCCTGCTGTGGATTGTTAGAACCCCATATTATCACACTGTGACACCTGTTTGATATGCACCTGCCTGCCTTTCTGAAAATGTTGATAATGAGGGGCAATTCTCAGAACTGTTCTGTACCAATATAAGATGCAATTTATGGCAGAAAGGTAGACCAAAAACAGCTGGAGAATGTGAAATGTTTTAAATATTTGGGTAGCTTGTTAACAGATGATGGAAGGTGTACGTGTGAAATTAAATGTAGGATTGCCATGGCAAAAGCTGCATTTAGCAAGAAGAAGAATCTTTTTATCAGCAAATTGGACTTAAGTTTGAGAAAGAAACTAGTGAAATGCTGCATTTGGAGCATTGCTTTGTATGGGGCTGAAACTTGGGCACTTAGGGCAGTAGATCAGAAACACCTGGAAAGCTTCAAAATGTGGTGTTGGAGAAGGATGGAGAAGATCAGTTGGACCGATTATGTGAGAAATGAAGAAGTGTTCAGTGAGCAGAGGAATATCCTACATGAAATAAGAAAACGGAAGGCTAAGTGGATTGGTCATATCTTACGCGGTAACTGCCTTCTAAAAGAAGTTATTGAAGGAAAGATAGAGGGGGTGATAGAAGTGACCAGAAGACGAGGAAGAAGATGTAAGAAGATGCTGGATGACCTTGGGGACAAAAGAGGATATTCTTATTTGAAGGTGAAAGCTCTAGATTGCATCAAGTGGAGGAACTGTTTTGGAAGAGACTGTGGACCTGTCGTCTTGACAGATTACTGTTGAATGAATGAACCCTGAAGATGGAGGCAACCTAGATGGTTCCTATCTACCAGATTGCATAACATCCCAGAAGACTATGTTCATATTGTGCCACGTAGACCTCTTTCTAGGCAACGACCATGAAACAAAGAACAAGACAATGACCATTGCTTGGCAACAGCTTCATAAATACCAGGCAGTATTGGAGTTGTTGCTAGGGAGCTGCCCACGCGCAGCAGTGTAGGTGCTGCTGGAGGTGGTGTTTCCTACAGGTCTGCTCTGAGGCTGCATCACTGCACTGACCAAGTTGAGTTCAGGTAGTTAGCACAGTGGAGTGGAGCGAGTTGGTTGGCAAGTGAGTGAGTGAGTTAGAGGACCGCTGTGGTGAAGCTGGGAGCTGAGGTATGGGGACACTTCGGGAACCCAGAGGAAGGGGAATATCTGTCATTGAACGCTGTTACCAGGCAATGACTGGTGATGATGCAGCAGTTTGAGAAGGCGTAGTATGTGCTGTAGTGAACTGCAGTGCTTTTTAATTAGTGATAGCGCTGTGGTTACTTGTAGTTACAATTTGTAAGTGTTCAGTAAATCCAGTTGCCAGTGCAGACCCCTTCTGTAGTCACTGATACACATGACAGTATACTGAAGTACCTCTCATGCTTCTGATTTTCAGCTTGATGATGCAGAATATGACATTCCCCCAGTTGATTGTACCCCAACACTGGAAAGTATTCTCAATGGTTTGGAAGATCAGACCTCACTCAGTGAAGATGAAATATCCAATTCCATGGTTCCTGCCACAGAAGTGAGTTCGCAGATTTGTAGTAACGTAACACTACAATTGACATGGTTATATACTACAGTAACATGGCCCTCTAACTGATGTGGCTAAACATTTCATTAACATGACTGTAAGTTGTGTAGCCCAGTAAAATGAATCTGCAAGTGCATGGCTGTACAGGACAGTAACATGGCCCTGTAAGTGACATGATTATACGTCTCAGTAACATGGCACTGCAAGTGACATGGTTACACAGCACAATAGCATGATGTCACAAGCACAGCACCTTGATACAACATTGTCACGTGTTTGGGGTTCCGCATGACTAATAATTGTGGATTCGAGACTTGATGATCAGATTTATTTGACATTCGTTCACAATTACACTCAATTATAACAGTTCACACACTTTCTATGTTCTCTCTGACTTCACTTCTGAACTCTGATTATAATTGTTTGGCAGCCGTGATAGCAGACATCGCCTCGAAGAGTACTGTATTTTGTATCTGCAGTAACTGTCTGCCTAAGTACATGTTACCGTGGAAACACTTCCGGTTCCACAGTAACCTATATCCCTAGTCAAGTGTTTCCATGGAAGTGCAAGTATAATAGTCCCATGGTAAGCCATTGTCATGGGAATGTGATCTGTTAATACTTGTTGCCTAGGAAATCAGCTGTTCTGGCTTTCAGACGTCATACTCTATATCACCTTTCATTTCTTTTGCAGGCTATGCTTGCAACATCTACAGCAGGTCTTGCCGTCCTTTCCATGGCTCATTTTTTTTTCTGCGGTGGCGTCTCTCCAACTGCTACCATTGTTCCCTCCTTAAGGGCCCTCATCCCAAGTGGCTCCCTTTTAAGGTTCCAGTCTGTCGAGGTACATCATCATCCAAAGTTTTTCTCCTTCAAACGATGGGTTTAAACAATTCTGAGTGGCTGGTGCCTCCACATTACTGGCTCCTGCTCTGTGTGCAATTTCTTTTTCTGTTTTGCAAGGGATTGACCTCTCCACAGTGTCCAATTCTCATTTGTCTGCAACCCAGCTGTAGATCTGGCAATCCACTTCTCACTCTCCAGTCTGAAGGTCTTACCAAAGATTCGGCTGGCTGTCTTTTTGTTCCTAAGATGCAGCTTCTGTCTAGTGCCTGGATACTTTATTCCCGTGCTTTCCTCTGGATCCACCCATTGTCTCTTCCCAGGCATCCGTTCTCTGGGGGCTCCTCTTGCAGCATTGTTTCTGGTCCGATTTTCCCTGATGAAATCTCCCCTGTGCCATGCCACTCCTGTATGGCAGGTTGTGCTACTACTGGCAATGGTCAGTCTTTTCTGGGATCCACAATATCCCTGGGTCCTTTCCTTCGGCTTCTGGTAGTGCTCCACAGTCAGACTTCAGTCCATACACTGCTGCCTCAGTCTTCTTAGCAGCAATCTGTCAGATTGTCTTGAAATTAGGTATTAGGGACTCTACTGAAACCTGTTGGCACATTTGGGTTTTGGTTAAAGTCGGATGTTAACAATAGACACCTTCCTTCCAAGAAGGCCTGTAGGCCTTCCTGCCTGCAGCTCAAACACAATTCTCAAACTATTTATCAGAAAGAACTATATTAAAATAAAAGTTGTAGAAAAAATTGAGGCCACATTACAGGTTCTTGGTAAGTCTTACAGGTTTCAGGATAATTGCACAATTTGAAGACGTTCTTCTAAAATATGATATAAATTCTGTCCTAAGTATAACAATTTATTGTAGGTCTTTTGTTTTGCCTTCTTCTGCACTACATGTTTCGGCCACAAATGGCCATCATCAGGTGTTTACACTATGTAGCTGTTACACTGCACCCAGTTTAAAATTTAAAAAACCCACAGGTCTTCCCAATTGGCTAACAGGATCTACTTCGCTGATATTTGTCTGATTCGTACATCATCTTTGTCACCCACACACGTCAATTTTGACATTCATGAACTGGCACTTTTGAAATCTTCAGTTCCGATTTAGAAAAGTCCTTTAAAATTTTTCCAATTTTTAAAATTTAAATTTCTCCAAATTTTAAAATTTAAATTTCACAGGGTTATTCGCCCCCACGTCTATAGTGTTGCAGCAGCTACTTCTTGTTTTCAGCACTGTAAGGTGTTATTCTGTGTAAGCTCCCTGTGTGCGTGCTGCTGCTTATCTGCCGCTGCAAAACGAAAGACCTACAACAAATTGTTACACTTAGGACAGAATTTATATCATATATCGTATAGAGTGTAGCAGGATGCTTAAATATAATATTGTAAAAAGTTTTTCTAAGTTGTTATGCTGTACATACATTTCCAGACTTCTTCAGCAGCAGGGTCACAGGTTGGTTGGACTGAGTGAAATGAAGCTTGCTGGTTTCATTCTCTTCTCTTACTGGATAAGATGGGATTCTTTTGATGTGGGTTCACACTGCACATTCCTGTTCAGACTGCATCCATGATATACTAGGGCCAAGTTCACACAGCACTTCAGACTGACTGTACATAGTGAGGATATGTATTCAAAACACCCTGTCCTTATAAGTGACACTCAACAGCTGCTGTGAATTGAAACCTTTGGGATTTAGAGTATGTAAGAATACCAAAATCATCAGCAGATAGGATTGCTCAGTCAGTACAGTGACTGGTTGTGGCTGAGACAGCTAGTGTTGAATTCTCAGCAGGTACAAGGATTTCTTTCATTGACACCACTGTGCTTGGCTGTTACACCCATCCAGCATCCAGTCCAATAAATATGGGAATCTCAGGCATAAAGTGGCTAGTACGTGGGACAGTCTACTTAACTTTTGCCTGTTGCTGTGTACTCATGATGTATTGTGTAGACAAAAATGCAATATTCACCAACTTGATTGTGCAGGGTGGTTTTGAAGGCAGTGAGACCCTATCATTAGGCAGCCTAGAGAGCAGGAGTCGCAGTTCATCAGAGCGCAGACATGAGGCTCGTGGAGGTAGTCGGTGGAACAATATTAATACTGGAGCTACTCATAGAACAGGTTCCATTTTGCGTCATGTCATACTCAAGGGCATATCGACACAGTTAACATCAGCTTCTGTGAGTATGTCACATTTCCATATGTTATTTATATATTTGTTTAGTTCTTATGTTGATAAGTCAACATCTCAACATTAATGTATCAGTGTACTTGCTTTGCATCCCAGTTTGTTGACTTGAAACACCAATTATGTGGCTGGGCATATGTAATTTGGTATTCTTGCGTGCTGTAAACTTTACAGAAAGCATTTTTGTTTATTGAGAATGCCATAAAGCTTTCACATTGTCACATGTGTGAATGACTATAGATGGGATTTGGATGAGTAATTGGATTTATTGGACTCTTACAACTCATGCCAACAAGTAAGGACTATGCTGTCACTGTTCTACACAATTCACAAACCACCACAGGACACACTGGGTCTTCTAACTGTTGCAGTCTTCACTAGCTGTTGCTCAGTATTAGGTTCCAACAACAGACATTTCCCTTACTCTGGGTTCCTGAACTGTCCCTGGCCTCAGCTACCAGCTTCTGACAGCAACAGCTCACAGCAACCAAACCCCTAGTGGTTATCTAAGTCACCAATCAATTCTTCACTAATTCCACTGACTGACTGAACTCACTGCCCACTATCTGCCCTGCATGTAACATCTTGGAACAGACTAATAGAAACGCTGTTCCTCTGTTTCTCTTTGTGGCCCTTTACCTAGTAATGACCATTGTCTGTTTGTTTGTTTTGTGATCGTTGCCTAGCAACGGGTCTACTTTCCACAATATTATATTTTCTAGACATATGATGGGTAGAAAACATACATGTTAAAGACAGTATCCCTCTCCTAGATCTGCACAGAACATTTTGTTGAGGTACTGGTTTTAGAAGCCTACAGTATGTTCCCTGGGGCACATGGTAATATAGTTGGTTGAGGCACTATGCTACAAGTTGGAAGGTTGGGGGTTCGAGTCCTGATGAGGTGGATTTTTTCAGTTGACCTTATCCTTCCAGCCACACTATGGCCCTGGGGTCAACTCAGCCTCTAACAGAAATGAGTACCAGGAATCTTCCTGGGGGCTAAAGAGGGCCAGTGTGTAAGGCTGACAACCTTACTTCCAATTTTGAGTCAGTTGCCTAAAGAAAATGTTGGAACCTCAATGTCTCACAACTCTATGGGCCTTCATGGCCTGCTACAGGGATAGCTTTAGCTTTTACAGTAGGTTTCCCACTATAATATCCACAAGTTACATTTTATGTTCAACCTAGTCAAGGTACAAACTAATTTGCAAATTTGACACTACATTTACCAGGTTACTTTAGTAACAAAAATTGGTAGAATACAAGTTTTACATATTTTATTAGTCTAGAAACAGCAACTCATAATACTGAGCAAGTTGGCTCAAGTGATAAGACTTCTGAGTTGTATTCAGGAGGTGAGTTGTTCAGATCTAAGTCAAGAGAATGGCTATCTTGATTGAGGTTTTCTTGGTTTTTCCCAGTCTCTCCAGGCACATACCAGGTTACTACTTCAAATTAAGCCATAGCCACTTCCTTCCATATTGTTTCCAATATATTGTGATGTGTAGACCTATTGCTATTTTTTTTTATTGCTAGTGGGGTGGGACTAAGTCCCTTGTACTGCGGTCACTTCTGGCCTATTGTACCAGCCCCAGATGACAGGTGAGGGTGATTGTGGAGAATTTGGTGGAATGAAGATTGGCAGGGGAAACTGAAGTACTTGGAGAAAACCTGCCCCTGCGCCACTTTATCCACCACAAATCCCACTTGACCAGAGCCGGGATCGAACACGGGCCACTGCGGTGGGAAGCCAGCGACTAACTCCTTGAGCTATGGCATGGCCAGTCCTATTGCTAAGCAGTGACACTATAAACAGCAGCCATTGCTAGGTAATACCTGCAACATACATGCATACAACAATAGAAGAACTGTGTTTTCTATGTGGTCCATGCTGAGATGTTATAACTGGGAGGTTTGGAGCTTAGACCAGTCCCCTCCTGTGGAGGCAGGGTTGAATACCTCCACCGTGACCCTGCAAGTGCTAGGAGGCTACAAAAAGAGAAGTCTCAAATCTGAGACAGTTAAATATTGTCTTGAGTTCCAAGGGACTTATACCCAGGAATGACTGTGCTGGCAAGACCAGCAGCATATACAAAAGGCAGACCCTTCCTCTCGTCAGAGAGGGTGCCCCGAAAAAACAAGACTATAACTGTGAAACAGAAATAAATATCTGGTCATGAACCTCAGATGGGGCTCTGCACCAAGACTTACTGACTGACCGAACATCAGTGGCAATGTCACTTTGACTCTGACTTAGTCCATTTCAGCTGTGTTCTGCACAGGAGGCTGTGAAGAGAGGACCCGAGTGTGTGAAGCTGAGAAATCCCCACTGTCAGAAGCCGTTGCCAGGGAATGACTGTTGACACAGCAGGCTGGAAAGATGCTTAGTGGGAGCTGTGGTGATTTGTGAATTGTAATTGCTTGTAGTTCCAAATTGTGTGTATAAGTGGTCAGTAAATTCATTTATCAATCCAAACCCCATCTGTAGTCACACATTCTACATGTGACAGTATTATTATTTAAATCATCCTATTGTCTGGCAATATGTATAATCTGAGATACCAGCAGAGTCATAAGTAAATCACAAACAGATATGAAAACTAAATTGTAATGCTGTGCTTTAACAAGAAAGTATAATTTGATTTCCATTATTGCACTAAAGGATAGCAGATGTCTGAACCTTAGAAACTGTCTAGCAGATCCATGAAATAATTGAGTCTAATTCATTGCAGTGCTCAGATGTATTATACGTAAGAGCCAGCTGATAAATGTTTGTTTGCGTTCATAGAGTCTGTACTTGGTCTTATTGGCTGGAAGGTGGCAAGAATCATCAAATGGCCTCAACCAATCATTCAATATACATGTACATGCTTTCACATTAGATACAGGATGTACACAGGAAATGTATACCATTTTACTTTAACACCATTCATGATTAAAAAGGCACAGAAATGAAAACTACAAGTAAATGTGTTTGTGTAGGATATGTTACCTACATTCTACAGATGTTGCGTGAGGATGCCTTGTGGTCCAGTCAGGATCAGTCCACATGCTGAATAAGTGCATCTCTTACCCTCCCAGCAAGTGGTGGCTGCTGATGGCACATACACAGCATTCCCATTGTACCCCCAAAAGAGGCAAATGAGGTGGCCAAGTGATTTGTCCATCCCTACCAATCCATTTTTCTGGAAACTTTAAATTTAAAAAAAAAAAGACCGACTTTATTGTGGAAATGTGGATGCACTCCATTTTGTTGAAACATGTTGTCAGGACAGTCTTCTAGTAAAACAGCCATGAAGAATTCCTGTGTACGTAATGGACATAATTGGGACAGATAAGATGAATATCTTAACAAGATTTTAGTATACAAAAAAATTTATTATTATTGATGAATATTTTAAAATACTTTTTAAATAATTTTACATTGACATAATGGCATGTAATGCAATAGATTAGTGAAAATGGAGCACCTGATGATTGCACTATGGTGCCAAAACATGTTATGAAGTGACAGGTAAAAGTAATGCACTGCAATGTGGACACTGTATATACATCCTGTGTACATGATATTAATCACAGTATGTCCTGCAAAGATAAGAAGCCCAGGCACTTTTTAGTTTTACAAAGCACCTTCGCACTGTCTTTCATACCTTCAGTTACTTCACGAGAATTGTTGCTTCCTCAAGTTTTCAGGTTATGTCAATTAACATTTCCTGAAATATAGAACGTGACTACATCACAAAAGACAGTTGTTGCTGCAATAAGTTCATCTTTAAGTCCTGAAGAAAGTTAACAGCAAACTGTGGGGCAAACTTGATTGTCTTGGGCAGTTATTTCTGTTTTATGATAATAAAATAACAATATAATAATGTTATACAGTGAAACCTCGCTTAACGAGCACCTCTCATAATGAGTAATTTGCATAACGAGCAAAACGGATTGTAAAAAAATGACTCGCTTAACGAGCGACGTTTTGTATAATGAGTGACGGGAGGGGAAGTCCCGGATTGTGCGCTTGCTACATCAGTCTGTGTTTAGCACTCGTTCCGCTAACATCTTAGTGTCACTTGTGATCACACATTTTTCCAAACTTGTGTTCAGACATATTATTTGTGATTTTTTTGTGCAAAGTTTAATAAACCCTTGCAAAAATGTCCGAAGAAAAAGCCGCAAAAAGACAGCCATAAGAGAATAAAACTAACAGTAGAAATGAAACGTAAAATCATTGAAAAGTGAGAACAAGGTGTGAGCGTGGCTGATCTAGCATGCACATACAATCAGTCTATATCGATTTGCACTATCCTCAAGAACAAGGACAAGATTAAGGAAATAGATGCTTCAAAGGCAGTGAAAAGAATATCTACACAATGGTTACATATTCTCGACGATGTTGAAAGGTTTCTCCTCATTGACACAAAGGCAGCAGAGAACTTCATCGGCAACTTCAAGAAGCTCGTAGATTCTGAGGGTTACCTGCCGGAACAGGTTTTTGGTTGTGACGAGACAGGTCTCTTCTGGAAAAAGATGCCGAAGCAAACCTATATAACAGCAGAGGATAATGCATTGCCAGGCCATAAGCCAACGAAAGACCGTCTCACGCTGCTATTTTGTGCCAATGCAAGCGGCGATTTGAAAATTAAACCGGTGCTTGTTTACCATTCAGAAACTCCATGAGCCTTCAAGAAGTGTAAAGTCCAGAAGAGCAGGCTAAATGTGATGTGGAGGTCCAGCAACAAGGCTTGGGTGACACGTGACCTTTTTACTGATTGGATCAATGAAGTGTTTGGTCCTTCTGTGAAAAAATATTTGGTTGAGATGAATCTGCCACTCCATGTCTTGCTTGTTATGGGCAACGCTCCTGCCCATCCTCCAGACCTACAAGATGACCTCCTTGAAGAATTTAAATTCATCAAGATCCAGTTTCTGCCTCCCAACACCACTCTGTTACTCCAGCATATGGACCAGCAGGTTATTTCTAACTTTAAGAAGCTGTACACTAAAGCACTCTTCGAGCGTTGTTTTGAGGTGACTGAAGGGACCAATCTCACTCTCAGAGAGTTTTGAAAATATCACTTCCACATCGTTGCCTGCCTCAAGATGATTGAAAAGGCATGGGAAGGGGTTACCAAGAGAACCCTCACTTCTGCTTGGAAGAAGCTTTGGCCGGACAGCGTTGTCAAATGTGACTTTGAGGGGTCTGAGATAGTACCTGTGAAGCCTGTAGTCAACGAGATTGTGTCTTTGGCCAAGATCGTGGGGCTGGAGGTGGATAACAATGATATCGATGAGCTTGTGGAAGAGCACAGCCAAGAGCCGACCACCCAAGAGCTTATGGAGTTGCATTGTGTTTCACAGCAAGAAGTTGTGGAGGAGAGTTTGTCAGAGGAGGAGGAGGAGGTAACAGCAAAGCAACAATCTTCTGGCGCAATAAGAGAAATGCCGAAAGCATGGGAAACTGTTGCATCGTACACTGAGAAGCATCACCCTAATAAGGCAGTGGCTATGCGTGCTACAAATTTATTTAATGATAATGCTGTGTCGCATTTTCACCGAATTTTGAAGCGTCGGCAAAAGCAAATGTCTCTAGACAGCTTTCTAGTAAAAAAGAATAAGATATGTATCATAAATAATAAACTAATTATTTCGATTTTTTTTTCTGCAAATTGAATTCATATTCCCGGTTGGTTCATTCCGCATAGAGGAAAAGATGAAGATGATTCATGCTCCTTAACAATGTATATATAATTTTCTTTGAATAAACGTTCTACATAAAACTTTTTGAGTATTTTTTCGCCATGGAACGCATTATTGTATTTTACATTAATTTATATGGGAAAAACCGTTTCGCATTACGAGTAAGATTCTGGAACGAATTATGCTCGTTAAGCGAGGTTCCACTGTAGTAATAAGTTGATCACGTTACATATTTATATTAATTGTCTGATATCATGCGTTTTTGAGGGGAATAACATTCTGGTGTGCCATGTTGAGTCATGGATACTTCATGGTGTGCTGTGAATAGAAATAGGTTGCAGAACACTGTCTTAGGGTACTCTAGGGAGACAACTGATGTAGCCATAGCTACCCTATAGCTTTACCTTCTTTAACAGCAAATTTATAAAAAAACTTTCAGATTCTTTATCCCCAAAGAGAGTGCCATTGACATGTTTGTATTTGCTATTGCAGGAGCGTGTGAATGCCGGACTGCCCACAGCCATGGCCGCAACAACAATGATTGCAGTTGGAACTTCTCATGGACTGGTGCTTGTGTTCGATGCAGCACAGACTCTGCGATGGTGCATGGGAGAAACTGCTCAAGATCAGGGCTCTGTTGCCAGTTTAAGTTTCAATCATGACTGCACCAGACTGCTGGCTGGTTTTGCCAGAGGACATATACTTATGTTTGATATAGTCAGTGGGAAGCTCCTGAGGACAATGTCAGACGTGCATCCCCCTGGCACAGCAGTTCTGCATGTCAAGGCAAGTTTCCCCCACTTTCATAGAACAACGTGCCAGTAGCAGGACAGAAACTTGGAGTAATAGATTTATTTGGGAAACCTTATTATTAAGAGACCATTTGCAATCATACGTTGTTGGCTAAAGCACAGTGGTTACAATATGTATTGTTCACTTTAACACTTTGTGGACCGGCGATTTAAGTATTTAAATCACCCTGGGGACTGGCATTTTTAAACCTACTACCCTAACTTGTGCACTGTTCACTTTAAAAATTAATATAAAATCTCCTAATTAATTTTATGAACTAAAATTTTGGAGAATACTTACCAATGCTCCTCGAAGTGCTTGAGAGTGTGATATTTCTGGAAACATTCCCCTTTGTGAAGTGGCATTGCACAGAACTTGCACATGTAGACAGTCATACTCCTTTTTGTTGTGTACTGCGCAAACACGGCATCGTCTAGAAGGCTGCTTCTCCTTGTCATGTTCACTCTTCACAATTTTCATGAGCGTATAACGTTCGCGATGTTGGAGATAGTATCTGTTAGTTTTCTGACATAGCATGTCAAAGAAACTATCTCCAAGAAACAGTTTCGCTCCTTCAGACACTTGCGTTGGGTCCGATGGAATTTGCTTCACCCCTGGATTTCCAGTAAACTGTCCCAAAGCAGGTGTTTTGTCTACTTTTCCCCATGAGGCTGTCCCTGCAATGTTGCTACCCGCACTTTCGTCAGAGCAACTGTCATTTTCACTTTCACTTTCTGTGACCACAATTTTTTGTTCGCTCCTGCCGCACTCACTATCAGATTGTCAGTTGCTATCACTAGCAGACTCACAAGGGACGTCAGATAGCTCATCGGAGAACAAGTCAGATATTTCTTGCTCTCCGAGAAAATTCTTGGACCTCAACCTCTTCTGACCTTGATGCATTTTGCACTAGTCACTTCCTGCCTGGTGCGTGCAGCTGGAAGATGAACAAAGGCATTTTCCTTTGGAGTGGTAAAGGAAAACAGTTGGGTCATAAACAGCGGGGTCATGTTACTGACTACGAAGTAAACATTCAAGAGGTCTATCACACACCAGTCATGCGTCTGCATGGCGCCAGTGCAGGGTATAGTGTGTTTCAACATAACATGTCCTAAAATCATAATAATATGCCACCAGTCCGCTACGTTTAAAAGCGCTGGGCATAAAAATATGCCACCAGTCTGCAAAGTGTTAACATTAAGATGCTCTTCCATTTACCTAAGCAGTGTATTTCTGTGTTCTGTTGAATTCTCACAGTAGGCAACGAATAATTCACTAATTGTTTTATTTTGTGTTGGACATGCAGTGGATTTTCTGTGCAGTTGGAACTGAATTTTTAAATGTTATTTAGATGGCCATTATAGTACTTTAGGTTGCTGAAATAAACCTCGGGCAGTTAGGGTTTGTAGTTTCAGCTGACTGCCCCATTGTAACCATGGAAATCTGTAGATTCAGGATAATAACTGTCAGCTGTTCTAGAGTTATTGTTCACCTGTGAGAGCAGATTTGATACCTGTGAGGCATATGTCTTGAAAACAGAATGTAACTTTCTTAACACACAAAATACGTTGTTCTTGCAGAGTCATTATATCACTGATATTCATTTTCAGATGTGAGCATGATGTGTGATATATATTTGGTGTGATTCTCTTAAAAAAAAAGAGGTAAATGTAATCATTAATTGTTAGTGGGTGTAGTGGGTGTGGTTGGCTTCTGACTTTCTATGTGCATTAAGAACATGAAGAAATCAAGTGAGTACAGTGAATAGTTCAACACCGATATTTGTTCTTTTTGCCCAAAATAACTTTATCAAGTGTGTTGTGTAGGAAGGCATTTTGCCATAATGTAAAATTTTATTTGTCCTGACGAAGGTTTCATCCGTTTTGATGTATGCATTGCCATAAACATTTCAGAACTTAAGATTATGGTCACCCGAGATACTACACCATGTTGTCCAGTAGATAATGTTTTGGAACAACCTGTTATGTCTGTCTTTGGAATGGACAGCCCTAAAGATGGAGGCAGTAGGTTCCTCCAAGACGTTGCTACTTATTTGTGGAAGATTGTAGTTTTAATGTTCACCATCATATGAACCTCAAAACTTAAAGGTAGAATGCTTTGTAAGAACAAATTTGTAATGGTTAATTCCTTTCATGTCAAAAAAGCATATCAGTGTATCCTAACCCTAGATTTTGACATGTTTGGTCTGAGAGACTACACCAGTGTGTTGGTAGTCAGCTGGGTGTGATGTGAGATCTCAAAAACAAGAACATCTGTTGATGGTTAATATAATACTGAAATGTACATAATTGTACAAGTACACTTCTTGGGAAAAGAGAAGTTAATTTTATTGAGGTGGGAGTTTTTGACATAATTACTGGTCACATGCAAGAAGATAAATGTGCTTCTTGTTTTGGTGTTCTCCTCCTTCCAGTATGACACAAGTTTTGTCATCAAACCTCATGTTGTCCAAAAGTTTTAGTTCTTCAGCACTCATGTTGAGAAATCAAAAGAAACATTTTCCTCCTCAGTATGTACTGGCTGCTGAGGTTGTTTGGTTCCATTTGGTACAGGCTGGTGTTGTGTTCAGAACTGTTGTCAGAATTCCCCTATTCATGTTCAGTTCTTCTGCCATCTTGTGTGTTGTCAGATGATCATTTTTCACCAATTTGGTACCTTTTTCACATTTTGGTTAGTTCTTAAAACTCTAAGAGGCAATATTTTTCATTATTGTTTTCCATTCTACCTGAAATTCTTTGACCCACATAAAACCTGTGTTCTTCTCCTATCACTTGTAACTTCCAGTTGCATTGTTCTCCAAGTTTGATATAGCTTTGTTGCTGTCTTGCAGTTGTAACAGTTCGTCACCCATGTTTCTTGCAGACAAACAGAACACTTTGCTAACAGTCTGAATCAGTGAATATATGGTACCAAAATGTTCTGTCCTGTAATCACATGGTCACCAGTGTTTCCAGTTTCTATGTAATGAAATTGGTCCTGCAATTTAATTACCACCAAGGTGACATATTACTACATATTTATCAGAATGTGATTGTAGTGTTATGATGAGAGGCTGATTATGCCAAACTTTTAATTGTCCTTGAAATTACAAATATTGTATTTGTTTCCCCCTCCTCTGGTTTATATGTACTGTACTCTTTAAATGTTACATTGTGAACAGATTTCTTCTCTTCATGTCAGATGAACCTCATTGGCATTGTTTTCAGCCTTGCCAACCCTTAATTTTTTAGTTCATGTATTTAATTTACTTTACAAGAATGGAAACTGAGAAATGAAGGCCAAATTATGAGTCAGGGATTGGAAAGAAAATGGCACATTTCATTTAAGTAATAAAATTATGAACAAGAGAAATAACTAGATACACCCTGTGTAAGAAGTGGAACTTCACCATTTATGCAAACAAATGATGAACTGTCTACCTAAAGGAAGGAGACCCATTGAATGATGGAGATATCGGCTCATTGGTCAGGAGGATGGATTTGACCTGAAGGCATAAACCTTGACATTGATGATAATGAATTTATCCTTTACTGCAAAACCAAGAAATATGGCCTGCCACCCGTTAGGACACATGGTTATTCATTTCCTATGCACTGAAATGAACTTTTCTTTCTAGTTCACAGACTCTCCTACATTGGCATTGTGTAGCGACAGTGGAGGATCTGTGTTTGAGCTCAACTTCCGACGCACCATGGGTATCCGGGGCTGTGATTCTAAGTGCTTGTTTTCTGGCAGCAGGGGTGAAGTTTGCTGTTTGGAGCCTTTGCTCTTACATCAGTTAAATGTACATCCATTGCATGGTGTTGTCCTTGTTGCTATGGCCACTCTGTCTAAGGTCAGCTCATAACAGAACTGTGCAAATTGCTGTTAGAGAACCTTGCATTGTGATACTCATCAGTGACTCTGTAGAACACTGACTTTCTCCAGTGCTAAGTTAGGTGGTTTCAGTGAATTCTTATGTGCAGATTACAAAAATATGTAACATCTCACAGATATTTAGCTTGAAGAGTGACTAGTGTACAGCTGTTGGTCAATGTAGTCCTAAATTTTACTGGGCTGTTAGTCATGAATTTGTCATGTCATGCACTGAGTGGTTGAAAACTCCCTCATCGCATTCCATCCAGCCAGCTATGTTGTGGCTCATATGTTAACTTTCTACCCTTTTCCTTGACTGGGGCAGTTGATATGAAAATGTTAAGCTCAGATTGTAATCAGCACATTCAAATTGACTAGAATCATCTGTTTTTGTCTAAGCAAAGGAAAAGGTGTTTGTTTTGTTGTCCAGTGTAATTTAGTGTTTGAGTCTGTATACACAATTATGACAGGTGCATTTCAGTTGTGTTGAACTAAATGGTGCATCCCATATAGAGCAGAAACTTGGACACATGCTATGAGAAGTGCAACCAGATTACAAGCTGTAGGGATGAAGTTTATATGCAGTATTAAGAAATGGACGAGAGAGGATAAAATCAGAACCTGAATTGAGGAAGCAATGGTATAGGGTGGGTAGTGTAGGATTCCTCTGAGAGCATCAGAAATTAGTATCTATGTAATAGTGCTCCAGAAAAATGAGTATGCTCTTTCTAAGTGTTGATATTATATGTAAAATTTGAAACTGTAATTAGAGGTAGGAGTTGTTTATTTTGTAGGTTCCGCTCATTTCTTGTGTGTGAAACAGGTCAGAGTAATGTATGGCTGCATGTGATTGTGATGTGCTGTTGCTACTTTAAGGATACAAGAGGTTAGGTATTCTTGACAAAGTTTTCTATAAGCAAGCTTTGCTGAAAACATTTCATCTAGGTAGGAGCAGTATATTATTCTTCCTAAATTAGTATCTTAATGTAAACGTAGTTGTCTTTCCAAAACTTTTCAAGTTAATTGGGTTAGGAATTTTTTAAGAAGTTCTTAACACCTCCCTGTTGAAATTTCAATTGGGTTATACTAATGTTGAATAAACAGCTATTGGAGAGACCAAGTACTAGGTGGAGAGTCCACCTGACAGGAGACATACACTTAGGTTTCTTGTGAACACAACCACAAATCAGTGTCAGAATAAGATTTGGACTTCCACCAGAACAGATAACCCCAGAGCCCAAAAATTAGACATAGAACATATCCAGATCATCTATGTACATTTATGCACTGAAATTCTTGGAATATTTTTCATCATTTCTTCAGCTGTATGAAGGTTGATCTGTTGCTTTAAGGTTCCCCATAAATGAAGGTCTCATGGGGAGAGGGCTGACCACAGACTGCTGATACTAGCCGTGTTCTCTCAACAGACTTCCCTCAGAGTTCCCATGGATGCCCTGCCTGTATTAGAAGTAGCATAGTCTACCGGCATGCTTCATCTGTTAGTGAAAGAGAGAGCATGGTACTTCCTCCACATACTTTCAGAATTGGGGGCACATGGTAGCGTAGTTGGTTGAGGCACTGTGCTAGAAGCTGCAAGGTCGCAGTTTCAATTCCCAGTAAGGTCATTAGATTCTTTTTTCAGTTGACCTAATCCTTCCAGCTGCACTATGGCCCTGGGGGCTGCTCAGCCTCTAATGGAAATGAGCATCAGGAATCTTCCTGGGGCTAAAGAGTAGCTGTTGCTTAAGTCTGACAACCTCACCACCATCTGTGAGCCGCTTGTCTAGAAAAATATGGGAGCCTCACTATCCCACAATGCTATTGGCCTCAATGGCCTATTACAGGGATATCATTTACTTTCAGAATTAATTGTGTCCTAGAAATAGGTCCATTTATTCTCTCTGCTCACGTTGCACCATGCAGCAATTAATGAAATGTTGTGTTTATCTCAGACTGTGTGAAATCTGATATCTGTTGTTCTGTGAACATACCACCCTGCCTTTTATTTTGCAGGTTATAGTTGTCAGTATTCGACCAAGGATGAGGGTTCTCTTCACGCAGTCTTTGCTTCACACTAGTCCAGCCACTCTGCCTCTTCTTGCATGGCAGTTTGTCATAATTCAGACGGTAGATGGAACACGAGTTATTGATCCTGTTCTAGCTTTTGCAAGAGAATCTACTATATTTTTCTATCAGGTAAACCAATTCATCATTTTTATATATATCAGCAACATGAAAGCCTGGGCTGTGCCATAGCTCAAGCAGTTAGTCGCTGGCTTCCCACCGCGGTGGCCCGGGTTCGATCCCGGGTCTGGTCAAGTGGGATTTGTGGTGGACAGAGTGGCACTGGGGCAGGTTTTCTCGAAGTACTTCAGTTCCCCTGCCAATCTTCATTCCACCAATTGCTCCACAATCACCCTCACCTAACATCTAGGGCTGGTACAATAGGCCAGAAGTGGCCGCAGTGCAAGGGACTTAGTCCCACCCCACTAGCAATAAAAAAAACATGAAAGCCCTGAAAACGTCTATGTATAATGTGAGATTTCTGACTCTTCTATGCTGAAGATGGAAGCAACCGGTTTCTCTGAAATGGTTGGTACCTGTCTTTGACACTACATCACACCATAATCTGTGTATGATGGGGAGTCAGTAAATAGATCACAAATGGAAGTAAAATAGCTGTAATGGACATAATAGGTTTTCTATGTGTATCACTAGGTAGCAGCACAGTCCAGCTTCATGACAGTTCCTGAGCTCGAACTAATAACGCTTTCCAAGCATACTGAGCTTCATATTTTAATTGCACCTGCTAGTGAGTGACGAATATGTGCAAGTCACTTATAATAGGAGGGAGGGTCAGTGAATAGGTCACAAATGGAGATGAAAGGTAACACATGATATATGATTTCTTTATTAAAACCGTTACAACACAACAATATTAAGGTCAGTGCCTAGTTTGGCTCTGCTACATGTGAGTCGTTTACATTCCCTACAGAACGGACAATGCTTTGTAAGATGAGGCACTGACTAAATAATTAACATTGATATTACTACATCTACATCATGAGCCTCCATAACAATTTATTATATATATATACAAAATATAGAATACTCCAATTTGTCTGTGGGAACACAACAAAATTAAAAAAAAACGACTGACTCAATGATGTAAAACATCACTCGAATTTTATTCTTGTTTTATATTATAACTTTTGTTTTATTAATTTATTGTACTTTTATGCCAAGTATTTTAGAAGTCATTGGATTTTTTTCAATTGACCTAATCCTTCCGGCACCACTATGACCATGGGGTTCACTCAGCCTCTAACAGAAATGAGTATCATGAATTAAATAAATAATTTTCCTGGGGAGTAAAGCGCAGCCAGCGCGTAAGGCTGACAACCTTACCTCCATCTTTGAGCTGATTGTCTAGATAATGTGGGACCCTCAACGTCTCACAACCCTATGGGCCTTCACAGCCTGGTACAGGATAGCTTTACTTTCTTTTTTTATTGTATCCAATTTTATCAGTACTGCAGTTCAGTGGTCTATATATGTTAGGCATATATTTGCCTGATGATGGCTATTAATAGCCGAAACATGTAGCAGAGGCAAACTAGGCACTGACCTTAATATTGTTGTGTTGTGACGGTTTTAATAGAGAAACTGTATATTATAACACAACAGGATGCATGAAAAGAAAAAAAAAATATATATATATCCTCCTCCAACAGTGATACACTTTTCCCATTGCATTACCAATGCACTGAAACCCACAGCTTAGAAGTCTTTTGACTGCTGTCTCAGCCAATTCCGCACCTCTTTTTCAAACTCATCATCAGCAGAACGTCTGCAACCACAGTGGTTTTTTAGCAGACTGGACAGATGGAAGTTACTAGGGGCCAAGTCCCAGCTGTTAGGTGGATGTTCAGGAAGTTTCAACTGTAGTTCTTGAATTCTCTCCTGGATTCCTGGAACTGCATGGGGTCTGGCATTGTCATGATGAAGCGGTACCCCAATTGCCAGTTGGCCTGGACGTTTTCTGCAAATTGCATGCCAAAGCTACAACAGAACTTCACATTATGATGCAGAATTCACATTTTCACAATGCTGAGAATTCCAAAACATGATATGCATAACCCTTTGAGCTGATGGCATATCCTTAAACTTTTTGATTGAAGGTGACCTGGGATGTTTTCACTGCATTGCATGCTTTGATTCAGGTTGGTATTGATCTTAATATAATCTCATAATTAATAAGTTAAGCCATGATAAGGACACTCCACTTCCTGTAGACACAAGAGAGTAACTTGTGTATCTTTTGCTAGGTGTCTGTTGTGGATGGAAGAAGCAAGATCCGATTTGTTCCCCTTCAGCGGCTCACTGTATCGTACCTACTACTAAGTCTGCATTGGCTCAACACACGTACTCTGGCCACTGTGGACACTATGGAACAGCTTCACCTGTTGGATGTGCGGACACAGGAGGAACTAGAAGTTCTGGATTTAGCAGAAGTTCGCTTGGTGTACGGAACAAGTCACTTCAAAGGACTGGCCACAGGTGGCAATGTCAGTAAAGCTATGGTAAGTTAATAAAACTTACACAGTGAAACCGCTTTTTGAAATTTCTTTGGGGTGCAGTGAATTTGAACACTGAATTGAGGAAAATCTTAAATGGAATTAATTTAACACTCATATCATTACAACTATTGTGCATGTGGTAGCATGCATGAATGTTTTGTCTGCCTCCTTCTGCCATCTTGAAGTCATCTTGAAGAACGAATGCCATTTATACAGGGTGATTCATGAAGTTTTACCCCCACTTAGGGCATTCCTCAGGTAATTTGGAACAAAAAATTTTAATACACTAATGGTATCCAACTCATAATTAAAGAAATACAGTAATTTGAAAACTGGCAAAAAATCTTTTTTTCTTCGAATTTTAGTCAGAACAAATTAGAAATACAATACAAACACTTTTCAAATCGTTAATGTTTTAGGAAAGAAGCATTCTAAAACCAAATTTTTTTTTTTCAATTTCTTAATTTTGCATTGTGCAACATTTTTCATCGATTTTATGTTACAAAATTACATTATTTTCAGCATCCAATTCTGTAAACATACGAATGGTTGCATATCACACCCTTCTATCAATCTGTTTCCTTTAAACTGTAGTGCTTTAGAAGACGACTGGATTCATATAAGATTTTCAAAAGTATCTCCATGCACGTCAACACAACGCATCGCATGCGTATGAACCGTGCTCATAGCATTTCGTAGTTTCACACATTTGTTCTTTATTGTCATCGCCGCGTCCAGAATATGTTCAAGCAACATTTCACGTGTTTGTACCTTTACCTGGTACGTAATGTCCATCGAGCCCCAAATGCAATAATCTAACGGCATTCGATCTGGCAACCTGGGAGGCCAGGCGTTACAGCCTCCATGACCAATCCACCTCTGTGGGAAATGCCGATCCAAGTGAGCTGCTTCTGCACGTGAGAAGTGAGGAGGCGCCCCATCATGCTGAAAGTACATCCAGCATCTTGTTGCCAGAGGAACATCTTCAAGTAACTGCGGCCAGGAAAAATGAATGGCCCGAGTAGCTGATCATACAGAACACCACACCAGACATTGATACTGAATCGGTGTTGAAAATTCAATTCTCTTGTGGCACGGGGATTATTGTCTGCCCAAACATGTAAGTTGTGACTGTTGTTGACCCCATCCCGTGTAAACTGTGCCTCATCACACAACATTATCAAGCGGTACAACTGCCGATTTCCATTTAACCAGTTGCAGAACTGCAGACGAAGAGCACAGTCTCCTGGTTTAGGTGTTGTACTTGCTGTAAATGATAAGGATTCAGCCCATTCTCATGAAGAGTCCTCCATGCCATGGACTGAGAAACATCGAACCGCCGAGCTAGATGTCTTGTACTGGCATGTGGACTGCGCTCTACAGCATCAAGAACGTTTTCTTCTTCGCACAGTTCATGTTGAGGATTTCGTTCATATTGTATACCAACGCTGGGGAGAGAACCAGTTTGTCTTAATGTGTTGAATGTACTGCTAATGGATTTAGGATTCGGAATCCTGTGATTAGGATAATGCTGGTGATATTCGGCAGCAGCAGATCTCGCATTCCCATCACATACACCCAAAACAAACACCATATCGGCATATTCCTCAGTGGAAAATGTGTACGGCATCTTAACTTCACAAAGCCACCAACACAACATCCTGTTTACTACTGGATCACTCTGCCTACCTATGCGCAACATTCCAGCTAGTCTGCCTTATCTGCTGACACAGCTGACTGGAACGCATGGTCGCCCAGGAGGGAAGCATAGCACTGCATTCACAATGATGCGTTTTGAAAATCTGTTGTTACTCCTTAACTATTGAAAATCGACCACAAGTTTATAAGGAAATTTTGCAGGAAATAACCCCAGGAATATGTACCATAAGCCGGGGTAAAACTTAATGAATCACCCTGTATATTATGGCGTGTCACATGTTATTAGCAAGCTTTTACGTTCAGCTGAACCACGGCCCTCTGGCTTGAAGAAATTAGATGTAATCCCTTGTGTGATGCAGATGAAGAATCTAATAGTGATATATTAAGTGAAGAACTTTATATTGACTATGATGATGAGACTAATTTGAAAATTGAAGGAGAAACTGTGCATGAAAAATTGAGCACCGAAATGTTGGAAAGTGAGAGAGAGAAACAAGTGTTATTGCGTGTTGGTGGGTGGGAGTGAGAGTGAGAGAGAAACAAGTGTTATTGTGTGTTGGTGGGTGGGAAAACATGACACTGGGCGATGATGCATATTGGGAAATGATGCCACTGAATAAAGCAACCAGGATCTCAAGAAGACAAGAAAGTACATGGGGTGATAAAACATAGTGAAGCAATTTCAGAAAAATTTTGTGCCAGGTAAGAACATTGCAATAGATGATTCAACAGTTGGGTTTAAGCTTAAAATAATATTTTAAACTTATAATCCAAAAAAAAAACAGTTAAATGGGGCATCACATTATTTGCATTAGCTGAAAGTGACACTGGTTATGTTCACAGTATAATTGCAAATTATGGAAAACTTACAGGCGACACGTGTAACTTGCCATACTCTGAAAAAACGTTAATTTCAAGAATAATTCTTTCCTTGATGGTCAGACTATGACTCAGTGTGTCTGGTAGTGGAGACTACCACCATTTCACTGACAGATATTATAGCAGTGCTCAGCTGGCCCAAGAATTGGACAGTTAAAAGTGTAAGGACACATTTGGCTTTCTAAATTTATGCGCTTGTTGCACATACTTCTCAGGCACAACAGTTCACTTAGTGACTCAGCAGCGGCCTCCTTAGTCTAGGGGTAACGTTTCCACCTCATGACTCAGGGTACGTGGGTTCAAACCCGGCAGAGGTCATGGAATTTTTAAGGGTGGAAAAATTCAGGGAACAAGTCCTCCAGGAGGGACTTTAAGCCGTGTGTCCCATGTCGTAGATTTACAGCACTTAAAAGATCATCATGTCTCTAGGAGACCTCTGAGCAAAATTAGGCAAAGTTTCCCGCCCAAGCAGTTTCCAATTTCTCCGGTAGATGGGGAAGTATCAAGGACCACTGCCAGAGAGGTGGCCGACCTCGCTGGCAGAACGGGGCTGATAGCGAGCACTAATTCTGGAAGGGCATGGCAACTAGCAGAATAATTAAAGGGGGACGCACAATAGGTCAACAACTGGTTGCAGTGCATGGGGAAACCCACCCCCTCCAAAATAATAATAATAATAATAATAGTAATAATAATAATAATAATAATAGTGGCTCAGCAGGCATTTAGAAACTCCTGACAACTTGGCTGCGGAAATTTTTCTAAACATGAGGACCGGAAAGGTTTAAGTGACTAGAGATCAAGGAATATTAATGGAGGGACCACTCTGTAGGTAAAAAGTCACTTCAGAGGACTTGCCACAGTTGAGCAATGTCTAAAAGTTGTGGAAAGTTAAAATTTATCAGCTGGATTTAAATCTCCCTCCTCCACATGGGGGACTTTTTGGTGTACTGAGACAAAATTGATTTTATGCTGGCTACAGGTAACAACAGAACAAACGCACCAGAATTGTTATGTTATGCAAACATTTCCTAAACTGATTGAGCAACCATAGGATGTTTCAGACTGTCTCTACTGAGAAGTCAACAGCTTTTTCATGCATACGTAATCTCTGTCATGTTTTTCTGTCATGAATTTGAATTGCTGTGTATGCTAAACATTTCTGCCTCAGGGTGGAAAGAAATCTTCAGACGTACAGATCTCAGATTTTGGTATGTGGTTTTCTCTGTGTCACACCAGAGAGTGGTTCAGGGTGTGTTTCAGCAGTGCCTTTATGGACCACCAGCTGTGAATAGCTTCAGAAGAAAATTGATGTTTCAGAGGAACATGTCACCTCTCCAAATTTAGGGTCAAAGCATACACCAAGCAAAACAATTATTTTGGGCATCATATCCCAGAAGATAGGACCACCGTTGTATGAATCTGAAATGCTACAAATTTAATTTTTGGCTGTAACTCTCAAGTATTAACCTTACTTTACACTAAGTTAGAGATTAGCTCACCATACAAAACCTTAAATACAGCCGAATAACTCTCGCACTAAGCTGGGGTCAAAGTATTGGAGAATCAGATTTCATCATAGTGGTTACTGTGAATGTCTCTTTGCCACTGTTTCCAGGTTAACTGTGGGACCCAGACAGACTCACATCCATGGTATAATGCTAATTTCTTATCTCCATAAATTGCTAAATGCTAAGAAACACTGGAGCTGTACCTCCACAAAAAGGCCAAGGCTCACAGTGAGCTGTAGTGCCAGCTTTTTACCTTTTGCCTTGTATTTCAAGTATAGTTCTCCTTAAGTTTGTATTGTATGTTGTATTTGAAACATCTTTAACCCTTTACGGTGGTTTGACGTTTGTCGTACCGTGGTATTTAAATGCCCCTGTCTGTGGTTTCACGTACTGTGTACGTTAAGCTGTAAGCTAAGTTTCGAAATGGCATAAGAATTGAAAGGATCACGCTAGAATTATGCAGTTTGGACTCCCCTGTTATGGAGAGAACGCAGTCGCTGAATGTACGCATGCAACTGCACCTCCTATGCCAGGAAGTCTAAAAATAAACTCGTGACTCACAGTGGTATCAACGCTGACTATAATTTACACATTCCAAACACATGATATGGTTTAGTGGTTAGGAAAGCTAAGAACAAACAGCGCCAGCGGTTGTTTGTGAAACGTGTTGAAAGGAACTGTCCTTTCAGTGGGTGCGTGTTTACTTGAACGAAAGAAGGGTCTATGTCGTCTAAAAAAAGTTACTCATAGCTTTCAAGTTTGCAGCTGTTCAGTCAGTCTAGTGTAAACGCGTGAGCTCGTAGTTACGATGGCAGGTCCATCTACAAGCCGTGCTCTCACGCAAGTAGAACAAACTGAATTTTTGGAGGAGATTTTGGACGACATAGTTAGTGATTTTAGTTCGGAAAGTGACAGTGAGTGTGACATTGACTACACACAGTTGGTGACACCTGGAACTCACGTGGTCAGTGATAGTGACCTTAGTGACAATGACGAAACCCAGGAAGAAACTGTACAGGTAGAATCAGGAAGTGTGTCCAGTGAGTTTGTGTGGGAAAACATAGACTCGTTTCCCGCTTCAAGAGAAACATTTTGTAATGAATATGGTCCCCAGTTCGACACTGCTGAACTTGATGTCGTGGGTTCATTTGAAAAAATTTTTGATATTGCCATTGTACAGCTCATTGTAGATGAGACGAATAGGTATGCTCAGCAAGAAATTGCTAAAAGTGTCAGACCCCTCACATTTCGCTCCAGGCTTTGGAAGTGGGAAGATGTTACAGTGGATGAGATGTACGTGGTGTTGGCTCTGATTATGTTGACTGGCATTGTACAGAAGCCTACACTCAGATCGTACTACTCTAAAAATCGCCTCCTGTTCACCCCGTTTTTTTCTGAGACTTTGCCCCTGGAAAGACTAGAGGCCATAACTAGATTTCTGCATTTTTCGGATAATAGTAAACAAAGTGAATATCAAGGACCTCCCAAACTTTTTAAAATTTTTCCAGTCATTCAGCACCTAAATGACAGATTCCAGAGTCTTTATCTTCCGGCCCAGAACATTGCAATTGATGAGTCCTTGACTCTATGGAAGGGTCGTTTGTCTTCTAAAAGACTCACAGAACGGCATTTTGTGGAGAAGATTCCAGCCACAGGAAAGAAGGCAAAGCCACAAAGAAGATGTGTCGTGTGCTCAAGACAAGGCAAAAGGAAGGATACTGTTTATTGGTGTAGTGATTGTGAAGCAGCGATGTGTTTTGATGAATGTTTTAAGAAATACCACACACAACTCCACTTCTAATCAACTTGCTTCCATCGTTGAGATAAAGGGCGGCCATATTATCAGGTAAGATTATAACACCATCTTTTAAGATTATTTCAGTGAAAAATTCATAATTATATCTCATATAGTTCAAAAGCTATGATAATTAATATAATTTAGACACAAAATTTAAATGGCCAACTAAAAAGTAATACCGCCGGAGGCACCACGAAAGCGATTTTTAAATCCCCACGCTCAAGGGTTAATATTTGATTATTTAGAAGATTATTATTAAGGGTATTCATGTGTTATGTATTTCCTGTGGATTGGCTTTGGTGTAATCAATTTTGTCTGCACTTTTATGAATATGAATGCAACTGAGATGTGAATAATTGCAAAGTACACATTTTGGTGATATGTACTCCATTGGAGGATACATTTCCATCCATATTCCCAAACTCAGTCTGCACCTTCTCACATCATATTTATGCAGCGCATATTGCCCACCTTCGTGACCTTTCCTTAACACTTTCTAACGTGAAGTTGGTCTTCATAATATTTAAAAAATTCAGTTAGTACCTCACAGAAATGGCATATGGAAATAGTTGCTATTTATTCTGACAGTTGTAAGAAACGCATAGACATACCAAGTTGGTAAAGTACAGATTTTGTTAATGCCCAAATGGGTGGTATGTATAGGAGCCACTGTGGTCTAAAGGGGTAAGTTGTCGATACTGGTCCTTCTCAACTTTTTAATATGTCTAAGTCATCTATGAAGTTGGTCTCTAATATCCCTCCCACTAACCCCTTTTTCTTTCTGTTTTATTGTTCCACTTGCTTCAAATTTCAATTCATGTTTAACCAGTTTTGCTGTGCATGTATTCTTCCTTCTAGGCGTTAGCTGGTGAACGTGCATGTTACAACTCAATCGTTAGCTTTGGAAATCAGATGCTGCTGTTGGGAACGAAGATGTTCCACGTGTTAACTATTCGCGCATGGGATGAACGACTGAACCATCTCATTAAGCAGGTAACAGTCGCTTGCGCCTTGCTCACTTGCTGCACTCTTGCTTAATGGATCCTAAATATAACATTCAGATCTTCACTAGAATTTGGTAATAACAAAATAAGTAATTATGCTCTAATTCTGAACTGTAGCATTATGTGTTGTGTTGTCAGAATCGGTATTTGGATGCACTGATGTTGGGAATGGCATTCTATGAAGACAAAGGCAAAGCAGTAGTGGGCCTTAAAGGCCCAAAACAGAAGCGCAAAGAAGTGGCACGCAAAAAGGTATGTCAGACGCTGGACGGAAACTAAACTGTTGGCACTGCTTATATGTTCTGTTAGTATATGCAAATTTGTGGACATACTGGCTAGTAAAAGTGTTGACAGTGTAAGCTTGATCAGAAATCTGTTTAAATGAGCAAAACATTTCCTTCTTTAATACTTGGATATACATATGTAGTGTGTTCTTTTACTCCAGAAATTATGTCTGCAAATCATGATGTTAAAATACTGCTGTTAGACTTGAAAGGATTCTGACCAACACATAATTTTCATGGAAAATTCAGTTACAAGTTCCTGATACCTTATCGCCAAATGCATTTACTTTTAACTGTTTTATCAGTACATGTTTACAGGATGTATTCCCCCACAGACACACACGCTGTCTTGTTTATTACTAAGGGCCCTTGTTTCCATTATGCAAGTAAAGATGATGTAAGTGTATAATTTTATCTTGGTACTAATGCTGCATGTTTGGCATTGCACGCACATCATTTCTGACACAACTCTGGTGCTACTTTCTTCTTTGCTTATGATAAATTTTTTTCTGTTGTGTTACTCCTTGAACGTGAAACTCACAATGTGCCACGTATATGAAGGGGTACCCAAAAGAAACCGAACATATTTTTTTAAACTTATTTATTCAAATTTTAAGCACAAACCTTCAGTCCCCTTCAAAGTACTCTCCACTTACACTAATACACTTGTCTAGTCTTTTATTCCATTTTTCAAAACATTGTCTAAATTAATCTTTTGAGATGCTTGACAGCGCCTCTGTCGTTTCTTCCTTTCATGTCTCTTTTCATTCGAGGAAACAAAAAAAAGTCGCACGGGGCAAGGTTGGGTGAGTATGGAGGGTGAGGAACAGGGGTCATACCATTTTTGGTCAAGAATTGTCATACAGACGGGGCTGTGTGAGCAGGGGCATTTTCATGATGGAAAAACCAGTCACCCGACTGCCACAAATCTGGCCGCTGAACTCTAAGTCACTCCCGACAGCTCCACAATTTCTTCAGTGGTCCGTCGTCGATCTTCCTTGATGATTTCACGAATTTTTTCAACATTTTCATGTGTTCGGGCCGTGGAAGGATGACCAGAACGAGGTTTGTCATCAATTGAGATTTCACCATTTCTGAAACGGGAAAACCACTCAAACACTTGAGTTTTCCCCATAGCATCGTCCTTGTATGCCGTTTTTAACATTTCAAGAGTTTCTGTTCCATTTTTCCTGAGCAAAAAGCAGAATTTGACCACCGCACACTGTTCACGAAAATCAGCCATTGCAAAAACGGCAATCACACAAAACAGTTGTCACTATAAACTCTGCTGAAACTAGTCCTTACCTTCTGAGTCAACGGTAGTCGGCTTATCGACTCAGGAATGTTAGCTCTATGCGCTCATAGTGGCAAAACGCGGTACTACAAAAGCTCTGCCCACAAAAAAATTAGTTCGGTTTCTTTTGGGTACCCCATCATATACAGCCTACAGCCATGGAATCAGGCACTGCTGTATTTAATTGGTTGAGGCACTATGTAGACACAAGGAACACAATAGCATATAAACAAACTGAAATAATGGCGTATGCGGATGATATTATTGTAGTATCGAGATCCCTAAGAACAATGAAGGAGACCTATAAAGAAATAAAAACCACAGCGAAAACAACTGGCTTAGAGGTGAATGTAAATAAAACTAAAATGCTGATACAATTAGAAGGAATCCAAGGCAAACTGGAGAAATTAACATGGAAGGGGACGGGATAGAAATAGTTGAAGACTTCATATATTTAGGATCAAAATTCCACAAAGATGGAGAGGAAAATCATAAAATAACAAGAAGAATAAAACTAGCGAATAATGCATATTTCTCGTTACTATCAGTTTTTAGATCAAAGGATATACACCGAGCGATTAAAACAAAAATATATAAAACAATGATAAGACCAGTGCTTTATTATGGATGTGAGGGTTGGACGCTAAACAAGATAGAGGAATCAGTCATCAATTCTTTGGAGAAGAAAATCCTAAGACGAATTTATGGACCAATAAAAGAGAATGGGATATGGAGAATAAGATATAATAAAGAGTTATACAAATTATATAAGGAGCCAGAGATCTCAGTGATGATAAAGCTTGAAAGATTGCAATGGGCTGGGCATGTACAGAGAATGGATAAGGAGCATATCCCAAAGAAAATATTATACAGTACAAGAACAACATAACACAACCCCACCACCTACCCCCACCTACCCCCACCACATCTACCCCTACCACGTCATAACTCAATCAATACGAAGACACACACACACATCCAACATTACAACATTCGCAGCTAAAAAGGGAACACACATCACAAGACACGGTGAGTACTACACATTATAATACAACACATAACAGATAGAAGCCGAAAGTAATAATAATAAGTACTTTTTTCACGTTGGAGGTTTACACAGAATATAAGAAAAACAACCCCCATGGTAGAAGAACCACACGCAAGTTTTAATTAGGACACATAAAACGAATAATCTTAACAAGTTTTAATGTGTGTAGATTTATTATAGTTGACGAATACACACTTTTTAAATACTTTTTAAATAATTTTATAAAGACATATGATGGCAAGCAATGCAATAGATTAGCATAATTAGGGCACCTGATGATGGCTCTATGTTGCCGAAACATGTCATGAAGTAACAGGTGAAATTGAGTGCACTACAAGACGGCCACTGTATACATATCATGGATGAAAATCAGTGCAACAGGACGCTAAAATACAACACTGTATGTTTAGTTTCACTGAGATGAGAGCAGTCAGATGATGCCAAATGAACTGACATGTTTCATGTTTTATGTTAGGTGTTGGAAATTCTACATACGTATATTGGGGAGATTTTGGAGCCTGGCAATGGGGATATGGAACTCTGCCAAGAGGCTCTGCCTGCTTGTATTGAGTACTGCATCGAACTGGATGTCATGTAAGTTGATTTTTACATGCATCTTCACTAATGAGTGGCCAATGTTATGACAGTTAATTCTAGTCAGCATCATGTCCTTTACATGTAGAATAATCAGAAATTATACTCTCAACCCTTTGAGCATAAAAATGTTTAATTTTGTATTTAAATTACTGCTAAAAAAACAGCATCTGGTGCTGTTTAACAGTTCCTGTGTGTTGCACCCATACATTCCGCACTTACAACTATTCTTTGCATAGAATTTCCAGTGTATATTGTGAGCATCTTCTTGCCTTTCCATTTCGTACATGATATTCTGATTTAGTGACTAGAAATGGGGTTTGGATTTGTAATTGGATTTACTGAACATTTGTGACTTGTAACCACAAGTAGTTATGAAGCAATTGCTAATGTACACACTCTACAGCTTACTATAGCACACATTAATTCTTCTCAGTTCCGCTTCACTAGCTGTTGCTAGGTTACGGTTCAGCTTGTCTGTTCAACAGCTCCTGTCCTTGCTGGCTGGTGTCTCTCACAGCCAACCCATGACAGAAGTCCCCTTACATTCTCGGCTGACTGAAAACTCTGATTGGTTCTCCGTCATATTCTGTGATCACTTTCCTTACCTTCCATTTTGTCATGTAGTATGTGTGACTATAGATGGGGTTGAATAGATATATTGACCACTTATTGGTCACTGTAGCACTGTCACTGTTTCCACAATTTGCAGTTCACTAGAGCACATAGTCAAGTGTTCTCAGTGTTACTATATGTTTCCTGGCAGTGGCTGCAATAGCGGCTATTCCTCTGCCTCCAGCTCAAGTCCTCTCTTCACAAACTCCTGTACAGAACTCAACTAACAACTGGCTCTGCTCCACACCTTCCATTTATATCATCTTGGCATGGACCACAAAGACAACACAGTTCATCCATTGTTGCGGGTGTTACCTAGCCGTGACTGTTATTTACATAGTCACTGCTTAGCGATGGGGTCTATACGCCACAATATTATGCATGGTATATGCCACAATCTGCCATTCATTTACATTATTTTATTTTAGAACTGGGTGATTTTAGGTGGCAGAAGCACCCATTCTTATTCTACCTGATCAACGTCACTCGAAAGGAAATACAAGAAAATTTGAAATTCTTGCCCCAAAAAATAACCCAGGCCAACATTTCTCACAGAAATGTGGTCTTACCTGAATCTTCATAAGGGAAATTAAATATGTGTGGTTACTCAGAAATGTTTTCATTTGTAAATCTGGTTTTTGTTTTACAGGCTGAAATGATCTCCAAACGCAGATGCATGCTTTTCCACACAAGTGCACAGGCACATATGCGCACACAGATGTAGACTGAATATATAAAATGTCTTTAGGTGAAGTCAGTTTTGATATGTGAAACTAATGTCTATCTGACAATGATTCCTGGTAACTTAACACTTTGCGGACAGGCAATTTAAATATTTAAATCACCCTGGGGACCGACATTTTTAAACCTACTACCCTAACTTGTGCACTGTTCACTTTAAAAATTAATATAAAATCTCCTAATTAATTTTATGAACTAAAATTTTTGGAGAACACTTACCAATGCTCCTAGAAGTGCTTGAGAGTGTGATATTTCTGGAAACATTCCCCTTTGTGAAGTGGCATTACACAGAACTTGCAATGTAGACAGTCATACTCCTTTTTTTGTGAACTGTGCAAACACAGCACTGCCTAGAAGGATGCTTCCCCTTGGAATGTTCACTCTTCACAATTTTCACGAGGGTATGTTTCCGCATATCAGCCGAGAGTCGCCCAGGGGTGTCCACATGAGGATTGCATGGGGTAGGCATTGATGGGCCCGGTCGCACTAAGTCTGTACCTGACTCTGGTTCTGCCGCCACCACCTGGTCTGTAGCCCAGGCCTTTGCCACATTCATCAGAAATGCTTTGTATTTCAATTTTGAATCAGGGTTTACATTTTTGTAAACAGAAAATGAATTGAAAATGGCACAATTTATAAGCCACAAAGCAACTTTCTTTGTCCACTTTATTATTTTCATAGGAAGAGAATAATAGGCCAAGTATTGATCGGCTCTTTCAACTTTCTTCATGAACATATTGTCACGTGTTGGGTGTATAACGCGACCAATAACTTTATGCCGTATTTGATATAGTGAATTTATTGCACATTCGCTCTTACAATCGATTTAAAAGCTCAACTTTACTGCCATCGGCAGTACTAGACTGCATACTCTTCCCTGGCCAACTCATAACTAACTAACTGGCTAGATTCCAACTGAACTCATAGGCTGCTACCTTGAGAACTGTCTTCGGTGGCTGTGTAGTTCCCTTATAAACCCTCAGCCGGACAACGGGAAAACAGTTAAGTAATAGGCACCACTGTTGTCTGACGCCGTGTTTGCCTGTTACGTAATGGGTACCGCTGTTATTACCTTCGTCTCTAGCAACCACTGTTTACCTGGTTTGCTTAGCATCCGTCGTTTACTCGCTTTGCATAGCGACCAGCGTGCTGAGACTCAGCTCACTTCAGCTCCGCTCGGCACGTCACGGCTGGCGGGGAGGGAGGGGCGTCATCCATAGCGCAACACGTCTCAATATTATACTCAGAAATACAAATAGGCTTCCTTACTTGTCCATGTTTCCTTTGAATATCAACCATGCTCGAATTGTAAATTGTGGAAATAATATTCACAACACGAGTATCTCTATCTCCAAAAAACAGTTCTGCTACTTCAGACACTTGCGTTGGGTCCGATAGAATTTGTTTCAACCCTGGATTTCCAGTAAACTGTCCAAAAGTAGACGTTTTTGTCTACTCGTCCCCATGTGGCTGTCCCTGCAATTTTACTACCTGCACTTTCATCGGGGCTACTTTTATTGTCTGTGGCCACAATTGTTTGTTGTCCCGTGCCACTGCCACTGTCTAAATCACTATCACTACACGTCTCAGAAGGAACGTCAGAGAATAAGTCAGATATTGCTTGGTTTTCAACCGCTTCTTTCCTTGACTCATTGCACTACTAACTTCCTGCCTGGTATATAAGAGCTTGAAGGGTCAAAGATCATTTTCCTTTGGAGGGGGAACCCAAACAGCGAGATCAAGTTACTGCCTACTAAGGAAACATTCTGGAATAATATTATGCAGTAGTCATTACATTTGGATGGTGCCAGCAAAAGGTATAGTGTGTTTTAACATAATGTGTCCTAAAATCATAATATTATGCCACCGGTCTGCCACATTTAAAAGCACTGAGCATAAAAAATGCTGCCCGTCCGCAAAGTGTTAATATGATAGCAACATCACATCAGTTATATAATGATATTGTTTTTCTGTATAATTTACTTACATTCATGGCGTAGGGGTTGGCACATTTATTTGATTCACTCTATTTTGTTCTTGTGATCAAATCATTTTGTCTGTATTGATGTTTTATGATCCCAGTGCTCTAACAAAACATATTTTATTATCAAAATTAAATCAGTATTTATCTTCATTTCATTTTACAGTTTTATGCACTGTTACTCAAATTACTGTATAGTTTGACAGATGTTATATTTTTTAATCCAATGCTGTACCTAGTGAAGGTTGTTATAACTGATTTAAAACTAGGCAGATATGGCCACAAAAACCCTCCCAGCTACTCAGTATGTCATTCAGTTTCGTGTTGAGTGACCCAGTGAATCTTTGAGGATGGGGCCACAGTTTCTTTTTGTCCATGCAAAGGCAGCATAATCATTTTTCCTGTAATTGGTTTTAATAATAAAAATAATGATCTTATGACTCAGAGGTAAGTCTCTTAAATCGTATTATTAATTCTCAAAATCAGCATACAAGGTGGTTCAAATATGACCGGGACTGATTTGTGTGTAAAGAAGCCTCACTGCGCAGCAGCTGTGCGACCTTGAGAGAGTGAAGCCACAACCTCCACCCTCCCTCCTGTTTGGGTTAGAACCTGTTAAGTCCTGTCTGGGAGTTGCTAGAGTGATGAGCGAACAGAAGGTACCGCGGAGCGTGGAACAACACATTATGATCAAATTCCTCGTTGGAAAAAACATCCCGTCCGCTAAAATTCACCACAGACTCCAATAACAGTATGGGGAAGAGTGTGTCTCACGGACCTGTGTGTTTGAGTGGTGTAAGTGCTTCAGAGAGGGCAGAGAGCACGTGGAGAATGAACCGCATGATCATCGGCCACGAACATCCGTCACCGAGCCAAACACTGATCATGCAGGCGTGCTTATTTGTGAGAATAGGCACATCACTATCAAGGAACTTGGAGCAATGCTGTCCATCAGTGTTGGTAGTGTAGAAGACATCGTGAAATACCACCTGCACTATCGCAAGGTGAATGCACTGCGGGTACCACGCACTTTGACAGACGTGAACAAAATGGTGCACATGCAAGCTGCCAGTTGTCTCCTACAGTGGTTTGAAGACGAAGGTGATACATTTTTTAAGTCTTTAGTGACCACCAACGCAACGTGGGTGCACTACTTCATTCCCGAGTCCCAGCAGTCATCATGCAAGTGTCGGCATACCAGTTCTCCCAAACCCAAGAGAGTGCGGATGAGCTATTCGGCAGGAAAAGTGATGGCAACGTTCTTCTGGGACTGGCAGGGTGTTATCCATGTAGACTTTCTGACAGATGCCAGAACAGTCAATGCAGCTTATTACTCAGACCTCCTGGCAACAGACGTTAAGGAAAAGATCCGATCCAAGCGGAAGACAGGTGGAAAGCAGGTAGCCTTCCTTCAAGACAATGCACGCCAAAATATGGCCAAAATACAATGGGAACCCTCCGGAAATTGAAATGGAACCTTCTGACACATCCACCGTACAGTTCCGATTTGGCCCCAAGTGATTTTTACCTGTTTGGAAGGCTCAAATCAGACTTGCAAGGCATGTGGTTTGTGGACTATGATGCCGTCATCCAGACTGTTCGTGAGTGGATACGCTGCCAACAACAAGCCTTTTTTTAAAAGGGCATCAGGATGCTTCCAGAACACTGGAAAAAATATGTTGACTCCAGAGGGGAGTATGTTGAAGACTGACACGTGCAGGTAAGTTTTTGGCAATTATGGTTTTTAAAAAAAATTAGTCCCGGGCATATTTGAACCACCTTGTATTTAAATAAATTTGAGGTTGCAACAAGAAATAGATACTTTCCAGTGCAGTTAGTTATTCACACTACTTCAGTTATGTATCCCAGTGGTTCTCCGGCTGTGGTGTGTGGGTCCCTAGCGGTCTTCAAGGCCTAGCCAGGGGGTCCATGAGATTATTTTTGTCTTCTTGTTACAAGTTAGAAGGAAAACATGTTTTATTGAATATTTTTAATATTTTAAAAAATGTAGTAATGTAATGGAATGGAACAATTACACAATAAATATTTTGGACTCAAAATCGCTTTCAGATGTCTGTGGTAGTTGCATAGTGGTGACTCAGGCATTTTTGTCATTAAATGATTGAGGTAAAAAAAAATTAGCCGTTACTGAATATTTTGTAAATTGGCACAAGAAATAAAACATTTTAAATGAGTTATTTTGTTTCATTCTTTTTTTAAATTATATGCAGGTAATTTAAATGTGGAGGCATGAGGCGTGTATGTTGTTAGGGGATACACAGACTTTAGAAGTTTGAGAACCACTGCAGTAGGGCACTGTTATGTTGTTGCAGAAAATACTCTGTTTTTTCTTAAAAGGAAATTTATGTTTAACAATGAAGTGGAACTGTTTGCACAACAAGTTATTTTGTTTTGATTCTTTTATAGAGATGTTCTATTTGGAAAACTTTGGGAGGCATGCGTCCATCATGTAGCACAAGCATGTTACCTGGAATCACTTGAACCATGGATTCTAAGTGATCATCTGCCTCTAGTTCCTCCATCCATCACACAGCAGTTTGTGCATCACTACAAGAAACAGGGAATGCTTGAGGCACTAGAAGCTTGCATTGTGCACCTAGATGTGTCTTCTCTAGACATTGATCAGGTTATGAGGCTTTGTCGAACCAGTGGTCTTTATGATGCAATGATACACATTCTTAATCGTGGGTTGAGAGATTATGTCACTCCCCTGGAGGAACTGATGCCTATACTTCAGACAGCACTAGCGACAGGTTAATATAATTCTTACATGTGTTGTAGTGTTCTTATTTTATTCACTGATTATCTGTTCTATGAACTGAAGCCAAAGTGGAGCTTACGTGCTCTCATTTCTGACGTGTGTCCAGATGCTTGAAATACTGAGTTCATTAGCAGGATGCCTGACTTCAAACTTGATGGCTCGAAAGGATTCTGACGGTGTATAATGCTCAGAATTACTGGGTTTTCAGACTTTGTCCATCACCCGTTATTCTAGAAACTAGAGAACACAACTTTTCAAAAACTGGATCTGTTTGGGTCCTCACGTGAGGGGCGATGACAGTTACTCTGTGGGGTCTTTTAGAAAGACCTAACCTCAGTCTTTGGATTGAGATTAGCTCTTTGTAAGAGACCCAATAGAGTAGGTGTCTCCCCCCTCACCTGAGAACCCAAACAGATTCAGTTTCCGAAACATTGTGTTTTCTAGTTTCTAGAATACTGGACAGTGGTTGAAGTCTGAAAATCCAGCTATTCAAACATATTTCTCAGCTAGCCTTGAATCTTACTGCCACACCTCATACAGTGCACTTCCATTGCAGAGATTCTTGAAGCACACTTCAGTGATGTAAGCGTTGAGCAAAGTATAGCCCTCTCCTTTCATGTATTTTGCAAATACAGTGCATTGTGCAGCAACCATGATACGTACGAGGTGTGTTCAAAAAATGACGGGAATTTCCGTATTTTGGAAAAAATATTTATTCATTCGTCTACATTAATGTTGTCGCCTTCAAAATAGTCCCCATTCGATATTATGCACTTACGCCAGCGCTTCTTCCAATCATCGAAACACTTCTCAAACTCGATTTTTGGGATAGCCTTTAGCTCTTTCAGCGATGCGCTTTTAATGTCATCTATGCTTGTAAAACGACGGCCCTTTAAGGTTCTCTTTATTTTTGGAAATAGGAAAAAGTCACACGGAGCCATGTCTGGCGAATATGGAGGCTGGGGCATCGTTACAGTATTGTTTTTGGCCAAGAATTCACGAACAAGCAACGAAGTGTGAGCAGGTGCATTATCGTGGTGCAAAAGCCATGAATTGTTTTTCCACAAATCCGGGCGTTTTTTTCGGATTGCCTCACGCAAACTTCTCTGATTGTGATTCGGCGATCATTCATAATCATTGCTTTCACTTTTTCCACGTTTTCATCGGTTGTTGATGTGCTGGGGCGTCCGGGGCGCTCGTCATCTGCAACGTCTTCACGGCCATCTTGGAAACGCTTATACCACTCGTAAACTCTTGTTTTACTCATAACAGACTCACCATAGGCCTTTGTTAACATTTCACACACTTTGTAACACTTTATTTCATTTTTTACGCAAAATTTGATACAAATTCTTTGATCCATTTCTTTTAACAAACGAAAATCGCCAAGCTCATAAAAACACGTCTAACCTTAGCGGCTGCCACAGACAAAGTAAGCAATGAATACAGCTGAAAATTTTATTGTACTTCAGGGGCATGTATACCAACATAATAAAAAAAAAATTTTGACAATTGGACTCTCCAAACCCGCGAAATTTTAAAATTCCCGTTATTTCCTGAACACACCTCGTACTGTAATGTTACACCTACAGTTTTATGAGATTTTCATGGACATGTTTATCAGACATATTTGTTATTTCTTCAGCACAACCTTATAGAATAATTTTAAAAAATATTGACAGTATGTTGCACAGAACTAAAGTATTAGTCCAGAATGGAAAGATACTTATGAATAGCTAGAAACAAATATAAATGTTCTGTTTTTTAGTTCTGTAACAGACAGAGTAGGCCTAATACAGGTAATTAGTCCATCAGTTTTATGTAATATGCTCCAAAATATTGTACAATAAATTTAACTGTACAAGTTCCTTATTTGTAGAAGTAGTTTATTTGTATTCACGTTGGTGTGACCACAGGTAAGCAATTGAGTGACAGCCACATTGCACTGGGCAATAAACTGCTTGTGTACATCAGCTGTTGTCTTGCTGGCAGAGCATACCCTCTGTCTGGTGATGTCCCTGCAGAAGACAACCAGAGAGTGAGACATGAAGTATTCAAATGTCTCACATGTCTCCACAGCAAGAATGCAGCTGACTCCGAGCAACCCTATCCTTACTTGAGGTAAGTAAAGAGCAACTTGTCTTCAGTTGTAATGAAGGAAAGAATGTCATTGCCAGTATGTAATAACATGTTCCAGCAGTGAAGTGCATTTTCCTCTTGATATCAGGAAACAAGTGCCACAAAATGTAAAACAGATTTCATGCAAGAGGATCTGCTTAGCTACTCAAGAAATTTCCCATGTTTCATATAACCTGAAGGGCACATGTTCACAGCATCCCACCTATGGACCCCTATCCTGACCCATATGAATCCAGTCCATAGCCTTCCTTTTAGTCCCTTTTAGGTACAAATATTCTCCCCACCACACTCTTCTCAAACACCTTCAATCTGTGAAGAGTGCAGTCTTCCGGGTTGCAACACCATGTAGTTGAGAGAGCACCAGACATTTCACAGGACTGTGGAGGGCTAAGGGTGAGCCACACAGGAAACTGTAGAAACATGCAGCAGTACTGAAGATGGAGATGATACATGGTCTGTCCAAAAAGAAACCAAACTTGGTAAATAGGGCACCAGCAAGCCAACCCAGGTGACTCATGACAGTGACACTATGTAGTGGTGACCTTAAGCGTTAACCTGACACCTGTCCAATCACACCACGTCAATTAGTCATCAAGTACATGTGGTACAGTAAACCTGTCTCTTGTGCCTTCTGCGTTTTTTGCAATTTGAAAAGTGAAGAACCTTCACGTGTTTGCGTGAAATTCTATTTCAGATTGGCAAAAACTTTACAGAGACTTTTCAGATGTTGAAGCAAGATTATGGAGAGGATTGTTTAAGCCATACACAATGTTACGAATGGTACCAACGTTTCAGATCGAGCAGAACGTCCACCGAAGACAATCCTAAACCTGGATGGCCTTCCACATCAATGGACGATGAGCACGTTGAGAAAGTGTGTGCTGTGATTTGTGAAAATCGCTGCCTAACTGTCCATGAAGTTTCTGAAGAAGTAGGCATCAGTAGAAGTTGGTGCCACACAATTTTGACCGAAAAACTGGAGATGCATCGTATTGCTGCAAAATTTGTGCCACATCTTTTGAACGGTGTATCTGTTGGTCAGGAGTTGTTTGATCGTTCAAATGCTGACAAAAACTTTCTGAAAAATGTCATAACAGGTGATGAAATGTGGGTGTACTGGTACGATATCAAAAAAAAATAACTCAATCGTTGCAGTGGGTGGGAAAATCTTTGCCATGACCAAAAAGAGCATGTCAGAATCGATTAAATGTGAAGGTGTTGTTGATAATTTTTTTATGGGAAGAGCGTTGTTCATCACGAGTTTGTTCCACATGGTCAGAGAGTCAGTGGACAATTTTAGTAGGAGGTTATGAAGCTTTGAGGCTTTCACGGCGGTGACTATGAAGAAAGCAGTCTTCTGGGATTTGGCACCATGTATATTTGGTGTTAACCGACGTTTCGGAGGAACGTATCGCCTCCATCTTCAGGGTAGAAGAAAAAATATAAGAAATCTGCAAGCGAAGAGACCGTGAGAAACGGTAAAGGCAGTCTGCTTTTACGTTAACGTCTGTTAAGGTCAGTTAACACCACATATACACGGTGCCAAATCCCAGAAGACTGCTTTCTTTCAGGTTATGAAGCGTTTGAGGGAGGCAGAGTGAAGAAAGAGGCCTGAGGAGTGGAGAAACAAGACCTGGATGCTGCACCATGACAATGCACCTACTCATACGTCGATCCTCATCTGTGAATTTTTGGCAAAGCATGGGACAGCTGTCATTCTCCAACTGCCCTACTCTCCAGATTTGGCCCCTGTAGACTTTTTTTGTTCCCAAAGTTGAAATCCACTCTTACAGGTCGCCAATTTCAGACGACAGAAGAACTAGAAAAATATTCGCTACTGGACCTACGTACTAGCCCACAAAACCCATTCTAGGACACATTCCAGAACTGGAAGAAACATCAGAAGTGGTGTATAAGCAGTGGAGGGGAGTACCTTGAAGGAGACAAATCTTATGAAGTTGTAAGCTTATCAATAAATGTTTTAAAAAGAAAGTTCAGTTTCTTTTTGGACAGACCATGTATGTTCCTCCAAAATTTTAGGCTTTCCCTGAACATGAGAACATCACATCCACCCCTCACCCTCTTCGTGTGAGAGGCAAGGTTTCACACCTGTAGAAAATTACAAATGCCACAATAATTATATACCAAAATTGGTAATTTATAAGGGAAATTAGTATGAGAAATTTATTAAAGTGTAATCTCTCATTGGAAAAGCCATAACCTGTTTCTTCCCTTTATTTATTCTCCTCAGGGCTTTACTTCACTTCGATACCAGAGAATTCCTGAATGTGTTAGCCCTGGCTTTTGAAGAGCCTGAGTTCACATCTGAACTGGGTCTGCGGCAGGTGCAGAGGCTTGTTGACATCCTGCTACTGGTCATGGTTCAGCAAGGTGATGGTTTCACGGTTAGTGCCAGTTATTGAAACTGCAGACATGCTTTTCTGTAGTGTTATATTTGAGCATTCTGTTGCATTAGGTTGTCGCTTATAGTCTGTTGTTTCTGTCTATAATGCAACAATTAACAACACTGATTCACACTTAATCCATACAATGGTCATTATATGTATAATATGTTATTATACTTATTAAAATATTAGCATATGTATGCATTATCACAATGCTACTACATGTTTTGACCAGATAAGGCAATCTTAAGGCAACATTTTTATAAGGAGTCTAATGCACTGTGCACTAATCAAATGTCATTCTTTTCATTACATCATTGGTGTTTTCTGCTTCAAACAGAGAATGCAAAGGGACAATTGATATGTACAATCAAGAAAACAACACACCAACGAAATACAGGAACAGCTGAATTAAAAAAAAACACCAATGATGTAACGAAAAGAATGATATTTGATTATATTATATTCTAATATTTTAATAAGTTTAATAACATATTATACACACAATGACCACTGTATGGCTTAAGTATGAATCAATGTTGTTAATTGTTGCATTATAAGCAGAAACAATAGCCTGTAAATGCTATTCTGTTATGGTTTTTGACTGCATCTTGTGCAGAAGTCACACAGCAGTTGGCTCATGTTGTATAACAGTGAATTCATAATCAGGCTTTCAGTGTACCTGTTAATTTAAGCCCTTGTGGTCCAGTATCAAGGCGAATTCGGTATCTGCTTTCATTCTGTTGGATCCAATCTCAAGGCAGCTTGATACCCTTTTTTGCTGACTTCTGCCTCTATATTGAGATGGCTACGAGCTGTCACATATGCTTTGTTCACATTCATGTTTGTCAGTGGAAATGTTTATAGTCTGTCAACAGATTTACTTGAAAAAAATAATTGTGAATTCAAGTTCTTGCAAAAAAATAATTTCACCAAATTAATTAGGACAACTCATCAAATATTTTAGAACTGTAAGGTTCAAGCTGGTTTAATCCTTTCATGCCTGAAGTTGATATAAGCACTGTATAAGATTTCAGTTCCTGCCTCACAGAGAGGACATGATATACGTATTACAAAGATCAACCTGTGGATGTTGTTAGGGAACTAATCAGTGATTATTCTGAAAATCACAAAAAAAACAAGAGCAAAACCACATGGGCAAAGTGTTTTCATGTTGACACAGGTGGTACAAGTACAGACCTCAGTGCTGTAAAAGGTTAAGTGGGAAAACACATAGACGATGTTGAGATCTGTCTACCTGTAACTGCAGTTTCTCTTAATGAATGTCTGGGTTTCATTTACGTGTGATGTCACTGTGGTCATGTTTAGTTGCTTCATATTCCTGTGATCTTGTCTGATCAGTGTTTAATTATTCTTCAGTCAGATAAATGCCTACTGATTGCATCTCTCTCTCTGCATAGATTGATATCTGTGCACTGTGCTCTCAAATCAAAGCATCGGATGCTCTTTCCTTCAAATCAGGTCAACCTGTACAGCCAGTTTCCAAAGTGTAATGGTTTTACTGGTAGAGGACACTGAATTTCAGAGCATTTTTGTGTTTGCAATAAAATCATTATAAATATTTTATGCACTGAGTAGATTTTTCTGCATTTTTCATAATCAAACTTGTGATATCTATCTTGTAATTCATAAAGTCGTGATTTTAAAAAATTGTGAACTCCAGTCAGTTAAAATAAATAATTTACAGAATAATATATAATACCTCAAAATTCTGGCTGTGCAGTGTATTGAGAATACAATGAACAACACAAATAAAAAGTTTTGTGCAATTATGATTACTGGATTAAGAGATATGTTAATTTTACTAGTACAGTGTTTGGTCATTGGATTTTTTCAGTTGACCTAATCCTTCCAGTCGCAGTAGGCCCTGGGGTTTACTCAGCCTCTAACAGAAATGAGTACCAGGAATTAATTAAATAATCTTCCTGGGGATTAAAGCGCGACCGGCGCATAAGGCTGACAACCTTACTGCCATCTTTGAGCCGATTGTCTAGATAATGTGGGACCCTCAACGTCTCACAACCCTATGGGCCTTCACAGCCTGGTACAGGGATAGCTTTACTTCTTTTTTTTTTAAGTACAGTGTTTAAGCAAATCAATTTTATGTAATTCAACATTCTAACTTCTGATGTAATTCATGTACTGCACTGGATATTTAGAAATGGCATCAGTACACCTGATGCAATTTGTATATGAGCATACAATGTTTATGTTAATGGTCCTTACCTATGAAGGGAATACCTTGAATTTCTTTATCATGTTTTGTCACTGTATTCAGTATTGTCCTCCCTTAAGTGTGGGATGGCTCCCAGAACCCAACAGAATAGTCTGAATAATGTGTTGTATGTCATCATTAGAACCTTAGAATTTAGTTTATGATAGTATGTTCCCTTATAGAAAACTCACACATTTTGTGGTTGTTCCTTGCAGCCTAGTCAAGTAGGGTCCTTGTTCACTTTCTTGGCCCGTCAGTTGGCCAAACCGTGGTGCAGCCTGCATGTGGAACGCCAGCTGTTTGAACAAGTGGTAGAATTTCTTACCATAGACTCTGGTTCCAGTAGCACAATGGGACATCATGAGGAGCGGCAACAGGCACTCCTGGAACTAATGAGGGCAGGAGGCCTTGCACATTATGACCAAGACAAACTGCTACGGCTAGCTGATAAAGCTGCTTTGTGAGTATCTCTGTTCAACCTCTGTTATCCAGCAACAAAGAATTTTAAATTTGATATTATGGGAGCTGACAGCTAGAATTTAACTCAGTTTAACTGGGTAAATGATATGTGTAGTGAAAGCTACAACACTCAGTCGTCTGAACCACACGCGTATGCTGTTGCTGTAATGCAGACATGGCCAGTAGAGCTTATTGTCATATTTGTAATGTGATTTTTCATCTTGGATATTTATAATGATACGTGACTGATACTCACTTTACTAAGAAGTATCGCATTGTCCTAATTGAAAACAGAAGCACGTTTGAGTCAGAAGTCTTAGCCTTCATTGCTTCATGTTGCTAACCACACCAGTACCATCTCGTGTCCTGTGTCAGCAGTTCTGTCCATCCTGAATGTCCCCCTCGATTGGGCAGTGCTCCTGCTGCATGTTTGGAAGGTCTCAGGTTCAGATCTCAGCCTGGAAGGTCATTGTGGTTTTTCCTGATCCCCTCTTTGTAAATGCCTAGGTACCATCTTAAATTAGGGCATGACCTTCAACATCCTTTTCAATTCATTCACTGATGATCATAGCATTCAGTACTCCTGACAGTACCATTAAATAAACCATAAATGAGTTAAATAAATAATATTTGTCAACAGTGACTGCTGCTGTTCATACATACACTTGCTTCCACAAAATTGCAGGATGCACATGTGTGTTCTCATCCTACTGACAGTTTAAGAAACTGAATGTTTTTTGAACATAATAACAGAATAATGTTCCTCTTTATGTGCAGGATTTGAGCCAAGCTCCCTTCATTCAAACCTTTGTCCTTAGTACTCTGTATGCATGCACATAGTCAAACATAATGATTACACTTGTTACAGAAGGAGATGTGTGAGGTCATGTGTGTTCCTTCTTCCTTACAAAGCACTGGATGCACAATAGAGTTAATGAGTGATAAACATGGGAACTGAACATAAAATGATGGAAACAGAAGATAACAGGAACTGAGTTTTCTGGTACAGACGTACCCAGTTTGGTCATATACATTATTTCATGATAAAACCATACAAAACCATCAAGGGGGAACTATTAAGCACATTCATAATTTCATGTTCAGTCACTAGAGCCTTTCTTTAAAAACTATAAGAAGACAATAACCTGAAATCCAGGGTCTCCTGCATCCAGCTCCAGCCAGCCTTGCATATTTTATTGTGTGGTTCCAGCCTCTCCGGCTGCCCTCAACACAGTATGAAAGTCCACTCACTCTCATCCCTCATGCTTCTAAATCCCATGTGTCTTTAAATATATGTACTCCACTGTAAATGGAATTTTTCATATTTTGATCTGGATGAACTGTAACCACCAGATTTGCGAGCGTTTACTGTATGTGTGAAATGGACTCTCACTGTGCCACTATTCTTGTGCAGCTGACAGTTGAATAGCACACTATGCTGTGGTAGAAACCTGAACTTTGTGTGGCTCAGATGGCACCAGTCCTATCTGGGTACAGACTTGTCACAATCATTGTTAGTGTAAGGAATGGCTGAACATGTCAACCACCAGCTCTTCACCAGATGAAATACAAGAAATCACACGTGCATGACATGCTTGTGTAGGCACGTGCCACAGTGAGCATAACCATCATGACATATGGTATAGTTTATAGGAATTACCGGATAATGTTGCTGTGACTGTGGTTCCTAAAGGAGGATGAGATGGGCAGGGCATGTAGCACACACATACAAAATTTTGGTTGGAAAATCTGATGGGAAGACACCACTTGGAAGGCCTAAGCGCTGATGTGGGGATAATATAAATAAAATCCTAAAGGAGCAATGGTGGGAGGGTGTGTATTGGATTCATGTGGCTCAGAATATGGATGAGTTTTGGGATCTTGTGAACATGTTAACAAACTTTCAGGTTCTGTAAAAAGCAGGGGGTGATTTGATTAGCTGAGTGACTGATAGCTTTTCACAAAGGACTCTGCTGCTTGTAATTACTTTAGGGAATGCTTGCAAATATTTTGAAAGAGTGACAATAAAAGTAATCTCAGATCATATAATTGATGCATTACATGTCTGTGTGTTTTGTGGTGTTGGCAGTTACCGGGTATGTGAGCACCTGTATGAGCAGAGACGGCAGTACGACAGAATTCTTCACTGCTACCTAAGAGATCCACTGAGAAAGCCGCAAGTGTTTTCATACCTTCGGAACATCCTCTTGCTCTACACCAGTGCTGCTGACAGAGCTAAAGTGGAGACACAGATTGCTGACAATATAAGGGTATGAATGACACATCTTACACTATTTATGAGGTATAGCTGGTGTCTGTCAGTGGTGACTTTGTGAGCAAGTTAAATCTTAGTCCCCCAGTTAATTGCTCTTCACCTTCAAAGTTGTTCTCTTTGGCAGCTCTGCGTGAAGCTATTCTTCTCTGTTACATTTAGAAGTATTTCTGGAATGCCTCATCTGATATCGCTTATAGCATGTGTGACATATAATGCTGATTCTCCTCCGGTGACCCCAAAATGTGTCCCTCTCAGTGAAGTTTTCGTACAGTGGAGCAGAAAGATGTTGCACAGAGCCAAATCAGGAGAATAAGAGGATGTTCCATCAGAAGGATCCATTTTTACATCACAAATTGCCTCACTGATACTGCATTCTGGTCCAGTGCATTGTCTTGATGTAACACTCATTTGTAAAATTTGATGAACTCCCTTCTTGTCTGGAAGAGTTCCATCTTCTGGGATATAATGCCATGTAGTCCATTGAAAGTCAGCCAGTGTTTCAAAGGAACGCGTCATCCCCATTTTCAAGGTCTAAGATTAGGCCATGCAAGAAACCAGCATGAAGCAGGTAGTGAGTGGTTGACTTTCAACAGACTACTCAGCATTATACATATCACAGAAGATGGAACTTGTCATATCTGTCACTGTCAGCCTTGCACCCTACTCTCTTTTTATCCATCCACAAACATTCTACTATCATTCTGATAGTAGCTGTGCTTTCCATCAGTTTTTGCTGTTCTCGGCTGCTTCAGTCAAAACTCGTCATGGACTTCTCTTCCTTCAGGAAATTATTTCTGGCACAAAAAAGAAGCTCATCCCTGTGGCATGGCAGATTGCTCATTAAGTTCTGCTAACACCCTATAATGTTCACTCACCGTTTTCTTCAATTCCATCATAAATTTGAGGCTGATATGTTGTTTAGAAAAATTATCACATATTTGCATTATCAGATTGTTGAGCATTTTCACTGTAAGACACACAAAACTGTGTGACAGCTGAAGTGATAGTTGAAGGAATATGTTGTTATAACATGCATTTACAGGTTTGAGGTGGAATGTGTCAGCAGTGCCCCACACCTCGTGCCCACTCACTTGCCATCTGTCTCCTGTATCAGTAATGCTTGTGATCTGTATCCAGCAGCCAGAACAGCAGTTATAATGAATGAGGTTCTTCATAATCATTCACAGTCCCTTCACTCGGGAGCTAGGATAGTACCATTAAATGAGCCATCACCTCTTCCTTCCAGAACTCAGTTTTGCTGAACACTGTTGTCCTTCCACATCATTTGGTGCTTTATAGTTTCTGCAGTTCATACAACACCATTACAAAACCTGCAGTCAATCTCTGTGTTTGTTTAGCTGAGTGCTGAGATGGCCGTAATTGTCTCTCTCAGATATTCGTGTGTCTACTTCAGAATTAACAGTGTGTGTGACACTTTCAGGAATTGCTGGACATTGATGCAACCAAGACAGGCCAGGTTCTCCTGCAGCATGTACCTCAGCTTGTGCCAAGAATAGTTGGGATATTACAGGAGGAGCCCAGAGTGTTGTTTCAGTTTCTACAGGGCCTCTTTGATTGCAGGTGGGTCTACTGGAAATTTTAATCTCTCTGTATTATGCCTGTTACTGAATGACATGCGGACAGCACATTTATACAGCTTTTTGTCAAAACTTTCTGCTATATTTGACCCTCAAGATCCAAATGTGTCCCAGTGTGATCTGTGAACTCTTACCCTCTATCTTGATTCTGAATAAATGCCAGACAGACTTTCCAACCTACAGCCACTAATTGTGGGAGCTGTGAAACCTGTTTTATTGCATGTCTGTTTTGAGATATAATTAACCATTTTCTTAAAACTTTTTTAAATATATTTTGAAAGTAATAATGTACATCTCTCCTCCCTCCTCTACTTCCAAGGGAGGCACACTCCAGTCTGGCCCAGCTAAAAGATGAGTTGAATTTTGATCCAGCATTAGTAGAGCGGTACATTGAGCTTCTCTGTGAGTTCAGTCCTGAGAAGGTCTACCCATATGTTACAAGCAGCGATGGTTACCGGCTTGATAATGCCATACAGGTAAAGTATGAGTATATTATGCATTGATGTGTAACTTCCTATCCTGCCTTACCTTTCAGTTTTTTAAATTTAATTTCCTATTGATATGAAGAATTTTTGTTACAGAACTGAATGCATCTATTGTCAGAAACTCGTCTGTAAATCTGTGTGTGCCTCATTTTACACAGTGTTCTCTTGGTCATTCTGGCTGCAATTTGCAGACAACCATAATATTTGGTACAAAAATGTGAATGTCAGTTTGTTGCAACAGGGATTGGCCCTCTGTCTGGTTGAGAATTTGTTTAAACTAGATTGTGACTTGCTTTTAATAGTTGTACTTAAGCCAGATAGCTCAGTCAGTATAATAACTAGTCTGCAGGCTGGACGACCAGGGAATTGGGATTGATTCCCAGTCAGGGCAGAGAGCTTTCCCTTTCCCATTGGTTTAGATGAGCTGTAGGGCTTGCTAAACATCCTGTCCAGTAGGACTCAGGGGAAAACATTTGGGCTATAGAACTAGCCACTCACCTGCATCCAGTGCTGAATGTTGAGAATGGCTGTAATGACTAGTGTACGTATTGGCAACACTGTAGAGTAATTGTTGTAGTGTCTTTGGGCAGTCTCTTTTGTATTTGTGGATGCATATTACTAATTGAGCCAGTGTAGGAAGCAGAAAAGTTGCATCTGTATATGTATCAGAAGACATGCCATGAGTATTCAGTAAGAAACTCTGTACAGATCACCAAGAGGTTCTCTCAAGTTGAAGCCACAGCATTTCTTCTGGAGAAGACTGGAGACTTCCAGGGTGCACTGAGCCTTATGATGGAGAAGGTGACTGGACTCCTAGCTGAAGGAGTTGCTGAAAACATCGACACAGATGAGCTGCGCAGTTTGTTCAATAAGTGTGTTGGCCTGTGTCAGCGCGGCTCTGCCATGTTAGATGAAAAGTCACGTGAAGCTCTCTGGTTTCCTCTGCTAGAAACTTTAATGCGCCCACAAAGGAGGGAGAAACCTGTAAGTTTATCAGGTAAGTGATATATGCGTCATGAGATGTCATTTAATTTGTCCAAATAATATATACTTCTTCAGGAGTTTTATGTCTTTACTGATGTAACCCTTCCACTGAACAAACTGTTAATAAACTCCTGCCAGTGGACCTTGCCATGATATACACAGAAGTGCCAGAAGTCATGGGATAGGTACCTAGTATCATGTAGGACCCCCTCTAGCCCGGTGAAGTGCAGCAACTCGACGTGGCATCGATTCCACAAGTGGATGGAAGACCTCTGGAGAGATGTTGAGCCACGCCATCTGGATAGCTGACCACAGCTTCCTGGTATTTGTAGGTGCAGGATTTTGGGTGCGAATGGACCTCTCCACCACGTCCCATAAATGCTCAATTGGGTTCATGTCGGGCGAATGTGGTGGCCACACCATTTGTCGGAACTCTCCAGAATGCTCCTCAAACCAATTCTGGACAACTCTGGCCCAATGACACGGTGCATTGTCCTGCTGGAATATCCCATCTTTGTTGGCGGGGGGGTACATGAAGTCCATGAAGGACTGCAGATGGTCACCAAGCAGTGTAACGTAGCGGTCACTGGTCAATGACGTGTGTAGGTGGACAAACAGACACAACTCATGCCACGTGAACACACCCCGCACCAGTATGGAACTACCACCAGCCCGCACGGTGCCTTGTTGACAACTGGGGTCCATGGCCTCCTGAGGTCTGAGCCACACCCGAAACCTACCATCCGCCCGAAACAACTGGTACCGTGACTCATCGGACCACACCACATATTGCCAATCCTCCAGGGTCCAATTAGCGACGTCACAAGTCCAGGTGAGGCGCTGTGTCCGATGTCGTGGTGTTAACAAAGGCACTCTGGTCAGTCTTGTGCTCCCATATCCCATGGAAGCTAAAGAACACTGCACTGACCTGCTGGATATGCATCTGGTACCTCCTGCATTGAATGTGGATGTGATTTCAGCCATTGTCTCTTGTCACCACAGACAATTCTAGCTAGACGCCGCTGGTCATGATCATTAAGCGCCCGTGGTTGTCCACTGCACTGTCCACGGTGGGTGGAAATGCCTTCCACAAGGTATTCCCAGTACACCCGTGACACCGTGGATCGAGGAATGTTGAATGACCTCACAACTTCGGAAATTGAATGTCCCATCCGCCTGGCACACACTATCATGCCCCGTTCAAACTCCGATAATTCATGTAAGTTTCTTCCGATAATTCATATTGGCTTGCCACGAGCAGACTGGCTGTGTTCAACCTGACTCACGAGAGAACACCTCACAACTGATGCTACTCTGGGCATTCCCAAGCCGTCAAGGGATGGTGGCGCCACTTAAAAATAAATTTACATACTGCTATCCCATGACTTTTGGCACTTGAGTATAGTTCACTCCACTTCATGATGTATTTCCATGAGATTATCTTTGCATTAGAGGAAGAGTATTTTCTTCTTCACACAATCTTTCCCTTTTGGTTTCTTGCCAACTCTTTCCTCTCTCAGTGTGTTCCAGTACTTGCCTGAAAAATCTTGTTCTTGGTTGTCTTGTAAAATAATTTTAATGCCCATCTTGGCATATTCATTTTTATTGCTAAACCACCATAATTGTTTCCCTTCAGACTGCATTAACAGATCTTGAATGCAGTGGATTTAAGTTTTTCCATCATTTAACATTCATTTTCGGTGATCCCAGTCAGTAATCTCCATGTTAAATTTCCCTCAGTTTATTGTGCAAGTCTGCAGTAGGCTAAAGAAATCTTGAGTGGGTGTTTCAATGTACCAGCTTCTTCAAAAATTTATTATATACTTCTGTCCCTTCATGTTTCTGTCTTGCTGCTACCCAAAAATTTTGTTTCTCTTGCTTGGCTCTTGCTTCTGTTTCCCTTTGTTGGGTGAGTGCTACAGCATTAAATGTTGGAATTGGTTTAAAATATGCTTACAGATTCTTATTTTGCATTGTTTTGGTATCTCTCTATTCCATAATATTTTATTCATGATTTTATAAAATTCAAAACACTTTTATATTCCTCTGTTGATCTCTCAATCAGGTTTCCCATTATAATCAGAAGTTTCAGAAATTTTATGGAACATTGAAGTTGAGGGCAGTTCTGTTTGTGTTTGAGATCTAACAGCTAACTGCACTGACTACATAAAAATATGTTCTGCTAATTTCACTAGTTTCTGTGATCACCTGCACAGTTCTTACCTCCTGACTTGGTATACACGTTCAGGCACCTCTGCCATGCATGGAAATATTGCTTAAATCATTTTCTGAAAAGCCATTTGATTCTGTCATCACATTACTCCAAATGTCATATGGATTTAAAATGAGATCCTTTCAAGGAGATTTCTAGTTTTTGGAAATGTGTGAATGTCACATGAGGTCCAGTCAATCAGTCATGGAGGACATTCCAACAATGGTGTTTAGACACTGAAGACGCCGTTCGTATTGTTAATTGGTTTATTTAACAACCTACAGATCATAACTACAATTATTTATAACACTGTTGCGGGGTTTCACACTTTATAACCCTATTCGCAATAATCTGTTCACTCTGCGGGGTTTCACGCTTTATAACCCTATTCGCAATAATCTGTTTACTCTGTCTTCAGTAGTCTACACGTATTCACAGTACGGGAGCTATGTAAGTGTCCCTGTATCACGTACTCCCAATTACACACGTCCGGTTCTTCTTCCGTGACGGCTGCCATATTCCAACTTAACTCATAGGCTGCTGCCTTGAGAACTTGTTCACTGCTGACTGGAGAACTGTCTTCGGCTGCTGATACACTTTAAGTCTCCGGGGACGGCTACACATTCAACTCAACTTGCAGGCAGTGCAGCTCTCGTATAGAGTCGCAGCACCTACCTGTTACGCAATGAGTATCACTGTTACCTCTTACCCGTGTCACAGCTGCGTTGCGTGTTATGTCACCATGCGGAGGGGGGTAGGCGGAGTGCTGGAAATCACATGGTGACAATTCTTGCACAACAACCATCTTATAGGGATGGAAATGAAGATGTTCGTGAAGAATTCAGCGCATTGAACGATTGGATATGTCTAGGGCGACTGCATGTTTGCGAGCGGAGCGTCTTGCAGATTTCAAAATTGACTGTTGAACTGCCTCCACATTTTCTGGCATTGTAACAGTCCGTTGTCACCCTGATGATTTTTTTCACCACGCTCCTGGTTGTCCTAAAGTTCTCTACCCACAAAACAATTGATTTCCGGTGGGGAACCGGACCTCTGGGCTTAATTCTGAAGTGAGTGAACGCACATTGCACCGCCACATAGGAATGGTTGTTCGAAAAATAGGCTTCGACAGCAAACGAACGCTGCTCACCCACCTCATGTTTCCTACTGAGGGGTATTAGACAGAAACTTCCGCGACTGCTGCGTTCGCTGAGCCTATCTCCACTTTTCTGCGACCTACCCTCCCTTCACAATGCATCTTCACAAAACGGAAGTTTCTGTGCCCCACCCTTTTGTAGAAAAATATGGAACTTTAAGCAGTCAAATTAATTAATCACTGCAACAGGATGTTGAAATATAATAATAATAATAATAATACTGAAGAAACAAATTCAAAGTGGATAATTCCTCTCAAAACAGGGTAGCAGAACAGCAACACTTTCATCTTTAATTCTAACATTCGTCCAATCTCTGACCTCCAGCACTCTGAAGTTTCCATTTAAGATTTTGGCATTTTGTATCATGTTGCTGCTGGAAGACCCAGAAGGTCAGGTTCTTCAGCTGTAACATCTGAACAAATATCTTTTTCCATGCAAGATTTGAGGTTCTCACAACAGTGACCATGAAGAATACCATCTTCTTGTCCCCACATTCTTTGCTTGATTAGTTCCATTTTGACACTGACTCAGAGTCAATCTCACTTTCTTTCTGTTGACTGTCTGCTCTTCCACTGTCTTCCAGATGGTCATTTGATGGCCCTTTCTCACCACATCAGTAAATTTTCCCACATTTTGATTGGTTCTAGAAGTTATGAAGGTCCAGGTGAATCATGTATATCGTCTTGAAGTGACTGACTGAGCACAAGACCTGTGTTCTGTTTAGATTGTAGTAATGTTTATGTGTTTGTTGACTGGCAGAGCTGAAGGAGCTGACACAGCAGTTGCTCACATCAATGAGTGGTTATGTATCATTGCCTGCAGTGATTCAGGTCATACTCATGGACCCAGCTTACAAGGGAGGGAAGTTCGGTGACATTAGAGAGCTCATGATGGGTGAGTTGGTCTAAAATATCACAGTCTTTAACAGCGCTTGAGACCTGTTGTAGTTCGATATGTAAATTGTATAGTGCTTACCAGAGTAAGATACCAGGTGTTGATGATATTAATGCAGTTTGTTAATGAGGACAAAGTATTTTGCACTCTCTTTGATCTGCAAGTAAAGAAGTTAAGAAATGTGTGTAGCAGAATGATTCTGGCACAGGTGCTCTCTTTTGTTTAACTGGCTTGTTAACTGTAACACTTACAGGAGAGACATATTGAGCATAAAATGTGTGTTCTCATTTTGTCAGCAGCTTTAATTTGAAACGGTATTTAGTGTGTTATATATACTTGTAGGTCTGGATGTAATATGTCTCTTTGTCTGGCATATTGCAACGAAAATTGAATGTAATAACAGATTTTAGTAAACTTGTCAGCGCCAGAGTTCGTGAAAGTGTATTCAGTAATTCTCTAGTTTGCTATATGTGACAGACATGGTGAAACAGGTGCACTTTTTAGCTTTTCATTACAGATGTGATAATATTTAAACATTGCTTTATTTAATTATAATCACTTAGTATTTCTTTTATTGTTACTCTGATAGGTATGCTAAGCAACTCTTGCTATGAGGAGACCCTTCTGCAGGCAACTGCCCATTTGTTAAGCACTGATCTGCATCATCGCTTGGCAAAACTGTTGGCAGCATCAAACCAGGGAATTTCACCCTGCAGCCTTACCTGTGCCGTATGTCAAAACTTTCTGCATGTCCTTAAGGATGATGATCGAAGTATTGTTTTTAGGTACTACTTTAATATTTTTAATAAGTTTAAAGAGGGAAGATATTTGTTGTTGGCATAGATTACCTGTAACTTAACAATTGACTATGAGGATTGGGGATCTCATTGCAGTGAATATTGAGATTATTCTTCTGAGATACTACGCTACATAGTATGGTATATAGGTACCAATCTTCCGGGGGAACTCGCTGCCTCTATTTTCTGCTCTGAAGATTGAGGTAGGTAGCAGAGTCCTCCAAAATGTTCGTATCTTATTTACTACAGTACATAATGTCACATCTCAGAAGACCATAAACTTAATGTTGTGATATATATATACTGAAAGCTGAAGCATGTTGCTACACATTGGTGCAATAAATTTATTTCCATGACAACAGTGATGTCATACAACAAAGAAGCAACTTTGGGAAACGATGTTTCCTGTCAGTCTGCCACAACTCCCATGTCAAGCAGTAACAAAGCAACTGCAAGAAGAGGTGTTTTCTCTTGGATCTGCCCTGAGGCTACGTGTGGAGAATCAAAACACAAAGTCAGTCAAGTGGAAGTCAAGCTTAGAGGCAGGCAGTCTGAACTTGAGAAGGTCCTGGGCCTTGGTGAGAAGGCCAATGGCAGAGCAGTACAGTCCTGAGACAGCTGTTAGGGGGAATGTTTCGTGAGTCATGTATGGGTGTGAGGAATATCCCTTGTTAGAAGATTGTGACCAGGCAACACATGGTTGAGAGGTGAGATAGGCTTCAGCCAGCGAGGACAGAAGCCGCCGAACACAAGCTGAGGAAGCTACAGTGTTGAAAGTCATTACCAGAGAAATGATGACGATACAGTAGAGTGAGAATGCTTAGTGGGTGCCACAATGATCTGTAAAGTGTGTAGATGTGTGAAACTGATATAGTAAATTGTAGTTATGAGTTTCAGGAGTCCAGTATATCCACTTACCAATCTAAACCCCATCCGTAGCCAACTCAATCTCATGACAGTATTATAAATACAGAGTTTCTTTTCTGTACATGTTTTTATTTTAGGTTTGTGGCACTGGAGTGGTATCATTTTAACCCCATACCTTGTGGACGCCTACAGTGTGCATTAGAAAGTTTTCACTGTGAAAGAGTGATGCAGAAGTGAGACTTCTGTAGTCTCAGTGCAGAGCATGTTCTGTATAGTGTGTGCTATACATAAAGCACCAACAAAAGATACTGGCTAGCATTAACTGATGTCACCAGACATCGTGTGAACTGCACTCCCATGTTCCCAGGCTACACTGAACTCAGTATAATCAGGCAGATAGTGAAGTGGCCTGATGGTGTGGCAGCTATTTCAGAAACATAGACTGTAGTGGATAGTTGCTGACCACATGTAACTAAAGTGTGGAGGTAACACAAGAGCTTATGTTTTCAGGAATGTACATTTATGCCCACACACCACCTTCCCCTCTTCACCACTCACCCAATGCTGACACCTCACAGTAGTTAAGCTGTGTAGTCTGCTGATGTTGGATGCTCTGCCTCCTGTGCAAACCTGATGTGGTGGATGCAGCCTGGCAGACATCACTGTGGAGTCCTAAGACATGCTTGTGAGCTGTAGCACAATGAGAAAAATTTACCAGTCTCACTTATCAGCATATCCTTACAAGATACAGTTATCAGTTCTCTTAACTGACTTCAGCAAACACAGACACCCTAGGTTCTACAACAGATTGTCTGTCTTTCTTGAGAATGAAGCGGACATTTTAAAGAAAATATTGTTGCATGATGAAAGCTGTTTTCATTTAGGAAGTTATATAAACAAACAGATTGTTTGTTGCTGTCATTACAAAGTCACCGTCACTGACAATCCCTACATCCCCCTCAAGTTACAGTGTGGTGTGCAGTCTTCAGTATTGACATGTTCACATCTGTGTTTGTTGAAGACACAGTCAGCTCTCAGGCCCACCTTTGTGTCCTGCTGACTGACTATGTTCCTTTTCTCATGAGTTACAGAGGTGATCTCAATAAGGCCTGGTACCAGCAAGATGGAATGAAGCCCTCGTACAGCCAGTATTATACTGGGCTTGTTGCAGGGAACATCCAGAAATATAATCCTCTCAAACAGATTTTCTCATGTTCTTGGTGGATTTTTGAGTGGCCACCTTTGTCATCCGATTTAAACCCAGGTTATTTTTCATATTAGAATATCTCGAGGGTAAAGTCTTCAGCACTGATGCCAGCACTACTGATTATTTGAAGGAGTCAGTAGAGTAAGAGATGAACTCAGACCAAATAAAAACACTGCATATGTACTACAAAATTCCATCATGCAACTTATGTGCGTCGTGTCAAAAGAGAAGACAAATGAAACACATTTCACACTGAAGACTACAGATTTTCATTTTATGACAAAATGAAATGGTTCAATGAAAACCACTCTGTACATCTAATACTGTGAATGCTGTTTAAATCTGTAATGGATGAATCTGAACTGGGCATTTGCAAGAATGACCTTTTCTGTTTGAGATGAGAACTTGGAGGAATTTTGAGAACTGAGATGAGAACGAGAATTTTCTCTAGTAGACCAGTTTTTTCACTGTAATCACATTTTGTAACATGAACCTCTTCTTCATAGTACCATATTTACTTGAACCAAAGGTCACTTTGAATGCAAGTTGACCATGCACTATGAAACATGTCTGCACAGAAAATGAATGTTGTGAATTTATTTCATAATCTTAGTACAGACTTACAAAAGAAAATAAGTACTGGAAGTTGTGCTATACATGAAGTTCATGGAGTAAGTTTCCTTCCATGTTCACCTTCACCAGTCTTGCGATGTTTGCCATTCTTACTGTTTGTTTAAGCTTCAGTTTGTTCACAATTCCCATCGTTTGTATCACTCCCACCACCAACATTCCCAGCATTGTCCTCATCCTTCCTTCCTTTCATTGCATTGGCTATACAGCACTTGTTATATTATTTGACCATCAGTACTGGAGAGATTTGTTGCTATAGTCTTGCTTAACCAGCACAGCAGTTCTATACTGGATCTGTCTGTTTTGCCAGTGGTGTCAGAACATGGTCTCCTACCAGGAGCCATCTGGAATACAGTTGTTACAAATGATCCTTCAAGAAGCTTAGTCAGTAGAACATGCAGTTATGAGGTCATTTCTGCATATGTGATCGCAGGATATCACTGATTTGGCATCCGGTGTTAAATGACCTTTAAGTGCATCCAGCACAAACATTTCCCATTTCCTCAACAGTGTGCTTTGTCTTCCTCTAACAGGTCCCCCCACAGTTCATGTAGTCATCCCCGTGTGTTGCTGCACCTTAGGCATAGTCTGTCAATCCAGTGTCACATATGGTGGTAGTTTTGTTTTGTCTGCCAACGAACCATTCACACCTGTGAATATCGTTAGATTTTTATGTATATACTCCTGTTCTTTTCCTGTAAGATTTGTTCTCTTTTGCAAACTATTCAACCAACTCATCCTTTTAGTGGACTTTCTTATTCCCTGAGTAACCCAACCTTTCTTTTGTTGTTTACTCTGGTTAAATTATTTTAAGGGGAAAACCACATCAAAGTAATAATGGAAAGTATCCATAAAAACCTTAAATTTCCCATTTACATCGGATTCTAAAAACACATCTTGCCGCGATTCTATGTTTAAAATATATTGCCGTTCTTCCATGCCTCCTTCACTAAACATTCTCCTCCTAACTTTTAATGGTCTCCTTACAAAATTCTCAATACATAGAGATAATACTTGAGCATAATGATATGAGAAACCTAGATCCATTACTATTGATGGTTTTGTATAATTACTATTATTTATAATGATTACATCAATCAATGATTTAGTATTCTTTGTAGCTCTAGTCGGAACCTCCATTGTATTTACCAAATTATATACATTCAAAAGATTTTTTAGTTAATTTAATTTTACACTCTCCTGCAAAAAATTCATATTCCAGTCCCCACATAAGATCAACTGTTTTCCTTTCATACTTAATTTTTTAATCACTAGTTCCTTAAAATTTCCATCAGGTGATCTATATATACAAATTACAATAATTTTGTAACCCAACAATTCTGTCACCGCCATTTCAAAGTTGTTTCCCTCATGCATATCTTGGAAATAATTAACTTCTTTTGTTCCTAAACCTCTTCTTACATAAATGCATGCTCCTCCACGGCCACTTGTTACCCTACTGAATGAGTTTTGCTAATTTAAATTGTGTAAAGTTCATGTAGTATATTTGCTGCTCTTTTTGCCAGTGTTCTGTAAAACATGATACATCTACATAGCTCAGCTCAGTCTGCAGTACAACATCTAGTTCTAACACTTTACTTTTAAAACTTTGGACTTTTTGATGAAGAACCTTAATTCTATTTACACTCCCTTTAAACTGCTTGTTGTCCATAAAAATCATCTCTGATTGTCACTGGTTGTTTATGACATCTTCCTGATGATCGAACTTGTATTTCCTTAATCTCTATAGTATCCTTCCTTTCTTCCCTTTCTCCACTTTTTCCTGTGAATGTATCCTTCCATGTCAGGGTGATAGGTTTATCCTTTATTCTTGTGACAATTCTTTTAACAGCCTCTGATATTTTTCTCACCATCTTCTCCTTTCCCGATGTATTCATATGCAGTCCGTGATGAGTGAAGTACTCTCGATTTATATCCACATCTAAAATTTCTGTATTGTAAATCTTATTCATCTTCTGCAGTTTCCTATTAAACCTTTTTACTTCATTATTAACACAAGATAACACACTCAAGTCATGTCTGTGGGGCTTCCATTATCACAATATTCGTATGACTGTTTTGCTTCACAAACTTTACCATTTGATTGAGGCCCTTTTTTGTTGCATTTTTAGCTATATCATATGTTCCTCCCCAAACCACAATCACATATTTCTTTGTAAGCTTACTAATTTCTTTTGTTGCCATTTTCGTAATAATCTCTAAACCGGTCCCTGGTTTAACAAACCCTATGGCCTCAAACGATTTTCCAGACTTTTCTTTTAGCTCTGTTCCACAACCTCTGGCATGGCTGTCTCCAATAACGACCACCTTATGTCCCTTTATTATCGAAACGCCTTTCTGTCTATTCTCTATTGGCCTTGAGTTCATTCGCCCTTACTCTTTAAAATGATCTACCGACTCTTTGAGGTTAGAAAGTTTCGAAAAGCGATTTACACACTTTGGTAATGCCTGTGTTTGGTTTGCTTCTATCTTGCAGGCACATTTCCCATATCCTTTTCTTACTCTTGTCCATTCACTTACATTTTCTTTATTCATTTCAAAATTTTTCTCTTGATATACCTTCGGCCGGTTAGTGATTTCACACTCAGCCCATCCTCCATAGTTACCACTTTCTTGAAGCATTTTAATAATTTCTCTTACTGAACTAAGTTCTAATAACACCTTCTTAAGTTCCACTTTTAACCCTTCACAACACTTACAGCTTCTTTCACTTTCCACCTCAATACTACAGTAAAGATTTCTGGTATCAGATACACCTTCCACTTCACTGTTCACATTGCCTCCAAGTGTGATGGTAACTTTTTGCAAGGTGAAATTCCTCACTGTAAATTCAACACCATTTATCAGCCTGTGCTGCATTTAAAAATATCTGCTGCTTGTTGAGTTAAATGATGTTGCTTGTACCTAAAATTCCATTCTGTCTTTGAATATGTACATATGATTTTGCATAGAATCAGCATTAAGTTCCTCTGTCTCTTGTTTATGTTTTCAGATGTTTGCCACAGAAGACATTTTCTTGTTTGCTTCACAATTTTTTTTTTGTTTGTTCTGCATGTTTTATAACAAAAATCTTAGAAGTATGAATCATAACTGGAACACCCAATTATTTTGACACATTCCTTTCATACTCACACTAGTTTTCTGACATGCCAACTTTTTACAGTGAGGGCACTTGTGTTAGTGTAGAACCTCACGACACTGTACGTTAATGAATTACTGGTTTCCTTTCGTACCTGTAAAGGCATCTTTGGCACCTTCATGGCTTCTCACTTTGAAACATATTTCTATCTCACTCTTCTACACTGCAGGCTTTGTCATGGACCTGCTAAAAGCCTAAAATTAAGAACTTCTAGTGTGTGCATGTGCATGCATGTGAGGAGACTCATTTTCCATTCAGGTGAATATGATACCCGTCCTTTTCAACATCAGATTCCAGTGCACAATGCAAAAGCAGTTTCCAGAAAAATATAAATATCCGGGACTGAAAAATTAAGATTGAACTGGAGATCGAGAAGTTGACTTCTTGAGTCTCTCAGAAGTGTGAGGCTGTTCTGAACCTCAGAATTCAGTTCATGTTTACTCTTTCAGGTGTGGCCATGCATATCATGCAAGTTGCCTGGAGGAACCGTGGCAGTGTTGCCACTGTTCCACTGCAAGCCCCATCACTGCTGCCTGCCCCCCAGTAATGCCACAGCCTGTTATATCGCCAACCAGAGCTGCACCTACCTCGCTGGCCTCCCAGGGTCTTCTTCAGAGTCAGGACTTTGGTCTTAGATTGGCACCTCCACCACCTCCAGACCTGGAGGGAGTATTCTAGTCGGCAAGTGGTTCAGTAGGTTTTTGGATCAAGATGTGGTGCTATACTGCTGAATAAGGCTGATGTGAGGCAGTTGGGTGTGACGTGCAATATTGTTCTGCTGAACAGGGCCAGTGTCAGCCAACCTATGTGACACTGTGGTGCTGTACTCGTGAACAGGGCTGGTGTGAGCCAGATGGATGTGACATGATACTGTTCTGCTGAACAGGGCCAGTGTCAGCCAACCTATGTGACACTGTGGTGCTGTACTCGTGAACAGGGCTGGTGTGAGCCAGATGGATGTGACATGATACTGTTCTGCTGAACAGGGCCAGTGTCAACCAACCTATGTGACTGGTGCTGTACTGGTGAACAGGGCTGGTGTGAGCCAGATGGGTGTGACATGATACTGTTCTGCTGAACAGGGCAAGTGTCAGTCAACCTATGTGACTCTGGTGCTGTACTGCTGAACAAGACTGGTGTGAGCCAGTTGGGTGTGACATGCGATATTGTTCTGTTGAACAGGGCCAGTGTCAGCCATCCTATGTGACACTGTGTTGCTGTACTGCTGAACAGTACTGGTGTCAGTTAATCTGATGTGATGTTGTGGTGCTGTAGTGCTGAACAGTGATTGTGTCAAGTCAATATGATGTGGCAGTGTGGTGCTGTACTGCTGAACAGTGCTGCTATTAGCAGGTTCGGTTTGACATTTGATCCTGTTCTGCTGAACAGAGCCAGTGTTAGTCAATCTGTGTGACATGGTGCTATACTTCTGAACAGTACTGGCGTCAGTCAGTGTGATGTGACAATATAGTGCTGTTCTGCTGAACAGGGCTGGTGTCAGACAGTCTAATGTGTCATGGTGCTGTACTGCTGAACAGTATTGGTGTCAGTCAATGTAATGTGACATTACAGTGCTGTTCTGCTGAACAGGCTGGTGTCCATCAGTTGGATGCACAAACATAAGACTATTAAGGGAAATAGCTTGTCTGAAATTCCAAATTTGGTATTTTTATTTAGCAGAAGGTACACTGTTAAAGAAACTTTCTTTTTACAATATGAATGATTATGCTTACCATAATATGAATATAAACAATATAGAAAATAAGGTAAAGGTCAAAATATGGAACTAAAACCAGTTTTGTTATTACATATTAAAATATCAGGTGCTTATGTAAACGTGAGATGGTTACATAGGATAGGAGAGACATGTGCTTATGAAGCAGACAGACCAAACATTTAATATTTTGCCCATGGTATTAATGTTCCTCATATAATAATTTGTTATGTGTTGTTTCTTAAGTTTAGGAATATTTATTTTTTAGTTTTAGCATGTGTTACAGAGTGTATCTCAAGTCACAGTATTTGGCAGCTACATCATAGTGTGGGTGAGTGTGAGCAACAGGCCAGCATAGAACTTTCCCATGGATAGGACACATTGGCAATAAAGACACTGCATGTGTTTCAGGTGATCTGCACTGAATATGCAGTAGCTTGGCTGAATGTGCCAGAAAGATGTAACAAGATGAGGGTTCATTGAATTGCTGCATGAGAGTCCAACCTTGAATGTTACAGAACGAGATGAGCATGAGACAGATGCAAGGAGTTGTGTGTTCTGGTTGTCATTAGGTAGGTGAAACATTTGCAGGAGAAGTCAGAATTTCCTTTGTTATTGCCGCACATATCCTCAAAGATGCTTTGCACCTGCTGACACATTGTGCAGTGACTGCAAGAGGATCAAAGGCCAACTCATCAGTGCAGTATACAGTGTTTTGAGTTTCTCTTAAAGCTCGCTGCAAGTGGCAGAATCTGTTGTTTCTTGTAAAATCCCCAAAGCAAATGATCTGCCATGCAGGAGTCACCATCACTGCAAAAACTGCAGAGATGTGGCAGGTATACTGAAAGAGTGTGTGATGTTGGAAGTCTTACAATTGGCAGGGCATTCCACGTATTTAGTTTGGTTTATTGCTGAGGTGTGTGAAGCAATGCTGCTTCACCTCCCACTTCCCATCTCAGTCTCAGACCATCCATGCATGAAGGACAGTTGAAGGGCTTTTCTTCAATGAGCCTGCCAACTCTCAAGATTGTGCTGGAGCAGGTTCTGTGTTAAACAGTTGCATGAACACTAACAGAAGGGTGTAGCTGCTGAAAGCAACTGCATCTGATAGCTTCATGGTACTTTAGGATTTGAGATGTGGCCCCAGTTCCAGAACTTTGTGATGCTACATGTACTTATTAGAGGAAGCCCGGTACAGTAAATACATGTGATGTACAGTAGAAGCTGGAAGAGGAGCAGTCAACAGTGCAGAAGAAGAAGTCATAAAATAGTCTAATATTCAGAGTTTTCCTAGAAGTATGACCATCTGCCCTGTAAGGCCAAAAATTTGTTAAAAACAATCTGCACAGTCTTCCCTCCTGCTACTTTTGGGTTAAGTTGGTTAGGCAGAGGAGTGGGAGCAGCACTGGGGTGAAAACCTTACAGGTGATGGAGGCATGAAACTGTAAACTGGTGGCCATGGTTGTGCAACTAAGTAGACTGCATCAGTTGACCAGTAAAATTGCGCAGTACCTCTCCAACCCTGTCTATAAAAAGATGGAAAATGTTCTTCTGGTTAAATTTTCATTAGGAAAGATAGATTTGGTGATGATAACAGAATAGTGCACAGTGGGACTGTGGAACTATGTGACAAAATGTAGTTCTGCTTCATTTCTGTTCCAGACTTTCCCTCCACAAAATGAAATGTTGAATATACTACTATGTCCAAAAAGTATCCAACAAAGTTCTGTATCTGGGTGGTTACAATACCTAATACCCTTCAAAGCAGGCTCCTTGTGACTCCACACACTTAGCCCAGCGGTCCTTCATCGCTGGAAGTAATTCTGGAAGGCTTCTTTTGGAATGGTGTGCAGCTGCGCCATCAAATTCTATATGATCTCCTTGCGGCTATCAAAACGGGAGCCTTTCAGCGGTGTCTTCAATCTTGGGAACAGCCAGATATCACAAGGAGCCATGTCAGGAGAGTAGGGAGCCTGACAAATCTGCGGAATGCAGTGCTTGGCCAGGAAACCGTGGATCAGGTGTGATGAATGAGCTGGGGCATTGTCATGATGCAGCTGCCAGTTGCGTGTGTCCCACAGCTCTGGTCTCTTGCACCGAACTGCATCACGAAGATGGCGGAGGACTTCTTGGTAGTACTCCTTATTGACAGTCTGGCCTAGTGGTGCATCCTCATGATGCACAACACCCTGGTAATCAAAAAAGAGACACACCTTCACATTGCTCCGAAACTGTCGTGCTTTTTTGGGCCTTGGGAATGTTGGATGCTTCTTTTGTGATACCTGGACCTTGATTTCTGGGTCATATCCATATACCCACAACTTGTCACTAGTGATCACAGTCTTCAGGAACTCAAGATCCCTGTTGGCGCACTCCAGCATGTCCTGCGCTACCTCAAGGCGGAGTTGTTGCTGCTCCAACAAAAGCAGCTTGGGTGCAAAGTTTGCCGCCACTCTTTGCATGCCCAAATCCTCAGATAAAATTGTGTTTGCGGAACCTCTGCTGATCCCAACCCCACCAGCAACTTCCCAGATAGCCAAACGACGGTCCTCCATGATCAGTGTGTGCACCTTTTTAATGACATCAGTATTTCAGCTTGTTGACAGTCTCCTGGAATGCTGGTCACTGTCCGCTGACATACAGCCATCTTTAAAGCGGTTGAACCACTCTTTAATTTGAGTGACCCCCATTGCATCATCACCGAAAGCCTGCTGAATTTTCCGGATTGTTTCTGCTTGGGTGTCCCCAAGTTCCTGACAAAACTTGATGCAGTATCACTGCTCCAAGCGTTGTCATCTTGAGTGAAAGGAGAATGCGATGAACATGTGTTACACCACTTCGCTATCTGGCAGTCAGAGACGCATCCGGCAGTGTTGCGAGTCAGCAAAAAATCACACATGTGCATGAAAGTCCCTTCTACCACTACGCTCAGTTTCCCCACTCGTTTGGCCATTACTTACAGTGGCAAAAAATGAAGTCAGATACTTTTTGGACAGCGGTGTATTCCCAGTTGTAGAATTCGCAGTGAAACATCCATCATTTAGAACATTGTGGTAGAACTTAAAAACATTTGTTAAGATATCGTTTTTCAGCACATGATTCTATATAGGTTGTCACAGGCACCAGCATTTCAGAGGAAATTGAACCTGCTGTCTCCATCTTCAGGGTTCACCATGAAGATAGAGGCAGCAAGTTCCTCTGAAGCTTTGGTATCTGTTTAGCAGACTGCAGAGTGTCACATCGTAGAGTACTGAAATTTTAATATTCACTACCATGAGAAAATGTCAGTTCTGAAACAAGCGGAGTAACTTGTTTCTTAATATCGTTCTGTTCCCAGTAGCACTAAATAACATGGCTCAGTCATACCTCACATATCTGAAGAATTATCCTACTGTTGCTTGTTACTAATAGATTAAACTTGGCAACTGACACCAACCAGATTGTCTGGGGTACCAGGTGGGTGATATAAACACAGTTTCAGCTTCATGTTATTCTTTTCTTTCAGATTCATTTGGCAGTTCAGTTTACCTTCATTCTAAGTTAAATCCATTTCAGTATTCTTTGACTTTTTTCTCAAAATTGCATAAAAAACAGACAATTTACTGCATGCTAGTTTGTAGCAAAATCACAAGGTTTCTCTGAAAGACCATAAGGAAATTCAGAGAATCCAACTGTCACAACATATTACAGAACTCCACAGACAGGTTGAATGCCACATACTTTGGTAGACTGGAACCACATTCTGGATGAAAATCATGCATCCATCTTCGGGGTTTCTTCACATCTAATTCTTCTGTCCTGAAGATGGAAGCAGAAGGTTTCTCTGAAAAGTTGGTACCCATCTACTAGACTACATGGCATCACATCTCTATTTATTCATCACTGGAACAATCTTGTATCAGATGCCGAATGTCTTCGTCAGCATGGCGATGAAGGACATATTGTATGATGCAGATCCTCACAGTGTGACAATTTCCCGAGCTGGGGGCCATAAAAATCACACAAAAAAGATAAAGAATGTTTATTAATACCATCACTCAATACAGTCCCCACCCTCTTCTGCACAATGTTTACATTGCTCGTACAATGAATCGAATGCCTAAGAAAATGTTTCTTCCTATATTGCCTTCAGTTCTCTTGTCAGAGTGTATTGGATCGACGAAACAGCTTCAAATTTCATTTTTAATTTAGGAAATTAAAAAAGTCAGCCAGTGATAAATCAGGGGAGTAGGGCAGATGGGATAACATGGGGATCCCTCGTTTCGCTAAAAGCTCTGAGACAACACCAAAAGAATGCACTGGTGCATTGGCGTGCAGAAAATACCAGGGCCCACTTTCCTGAAACTCAGGCCTAACCGGATGAACTAGAGTGATCTATCTCTTAATCACCTTTTTATAAAATTTACCATTTACAGTCTATTTTTCTTGCACAAATTCATGATTAATGAATCAAAAGTGCAGTCAACGTTGTTTTCACTTGCAGTTTTTCCATTCCCACTTTCTGAGCTTCTATGAACCTTTTATGCCATTGAAACACATTTCTTCTCAATAAACATTCTTCACCGTACACACTTTTAAACATTTCAAATGTTTCAGTAGCTGTTTTCTTTAATTTTACACAAACCTTATTCATTATGTTTTGTTCCATTTTGAAACCTTCAACATGACAAAAAAAAAGTAACTTCACCAAAACAATTGTAATTCTCACTTGCATCAACTAAACAAGTTGAAACTAGTCATGTTTATCTCTGATGAATGATATTAGTAGTATTACTGTAATGGCGTCAATTCGGGAACTTAATTGTCACACTATGTATACTGAGCCCAACAGTCAGCTGCGTTACCATTTTATGAGTAACTGTCACAGAATGTCCATTTTAATTGTGTGGCAGTCAAACAGAAGGAATTATATATCACCCAGTGCATGTTATTTTTGGCCAACACATGTCCATCCTTTGATATTCAGTTGCAACAAATGAAAGACTGGCTTCATGTTCCAGACAGTGTTCATTCAATTTGTATAATTTTGCATCTGTTATAACTAAATGAAATATATTTATTTTCCCATGTTATATATATGAATTCATGTATATTAATAAAAATATGTTTTTTTTTTCTTTCTATAATTTGCTTACCTTCAATTCAGTCCCACCTCTTAATATGCCTTGATAGTAGCTTCTGAAACCTGAATTTTAAAAATATCCTTATTTTTTGTTTTCCCATATTTTTGTTAGGAAAGTAGATTTACATTTATATCTTTGTTTCACTCTGTTAACTTGTAATCCACTTCAATTTGGTGTGAATGAAATGTCACCCTAAGCTGTCACACTTCCATATCCATGTAATAAATATCCTTGCATCAGCAGCACATGATGGCTGTCATTTGACCTTCTAAAGGGCAGCAGAACTCACACCATTCAATGTAGGATTGTAGGAAGCAGAACTACAAAATGTATGCAAAATAATGTGGTCCTTATAGGGTTTGAGGTTCTCAAAGAGTTCTGTCTTGTAGAATGTAACACCATGTAATCCATAAGCCGAGCATGAAAGCAGGTGCCTAGCAGAGCTCAGATTATTCTTTGACTCTGAAGATAGAGACAACATGTTCCTCCCTAACATCAGTTGGCTTTCAACAGACTACAAGGCGTTATATTGCAGAAGATGGAACTCTTAATGTAAGCCTTTTCTATCCTCAGATCAGCAAACCTGTTTCCATAGAATGCATCTTAAATGTCACCATAAATTGAGACATGTAGTCTCAACACAGCCTGATCTGATGAATATGCAGTGTGGCTCTGGCATTTGGGAATAGGCTGCATCAAATGCTGAAGGTTTTTAAAAAATCCTTGCAATCACCAACTTCGGGGAAGGTGAAGCTGTGATTGGATAAACAGAGAAGTGGGGTGCTAACCAGTAGACTGTGACCATGTAGTTAGTGAAAACAGGTGATGAAAAGTGGTTTGGAGTTAAGGTGAATTAAAAAAAAGGTGGTGAAAGGTCTTTCAAGGAGGGACTATGTAGTTTATGAAAATAGGTGACTTCTTGGCAACCAGGTGACTTCGAGGGGAGATGGGGAAAAATGTTTCAGCAACCCCATGCTTAGGTCAGGAGGTGGTGGGAAGTTTATTTGATGTTTTCCTTCTTCTCCCTACATAGAGAGGAAAGAGAGCCTGGCGATTTCTTGGTGAAGGTCATTCACCAGTGAATTTTGGAGGAAGGACTTGGAGCCAAGCTGTACTCAACCTGTATGCATCTTCGCAGTTGAGATTACAGAGGTGTTCTGTAGTTTCAATGGCTTCCCTGATGATGTAGGGAGCTGTAGGTCCAAATACTGGCTGCTACCTCTGTTCTGTTAAAGGTGATGTTGTGTTATATTTCTGCAATGCTCAGCTACTGCTGATGGCTGGTTCTTCATTGTGATGTGTGTGACATGTTCTGAAATCTTGGTGTGTATGTGGTGGCCCTTTTGGACAGTTTACACCCTGCCACATGAGCATATGTTATAAACCCCATTTTCTTGAACTGGGGGTTGGTGAACCTAAAGTGGGATGCCATTTTGGTAAAATGGTTTCTTAATTGTGCGAATGCCTTTTTTCTTCAGTAGCCTGGAGTAGTGTCAGTGATGCCATGGCTGTATGGTATATGTGCAGTGTGGTCTTGCTTGTTTTCATTGGCAGGTCTCTCCTTTGCTGCTCTTTTGATGCCCTAGAGGGAGCAGTGAGTGGCTCAGAGAGTGGACATGACATGCTGTTGTTCAGTGGCCTGGTTAGACTTGGCACTTCCTCAAAGAAAGTTTCCATTTGTTCACGTAACATCTTTGCATCTTTTTATTTGTATATGTTCACAGTGAGAAGCTGCAGAAGTGTGCCTGTGAACTTCACAACGTATTTCTGCGCACATGTAACAGCTAAAGAACCACTGAACACATGTTTTTGAACTTTTATATTGAGGAGTTCTCTTAAGATCTGTCAGCACATTCCAGTTTATTTAAAAGTGGACATCAGTAATGGACATACTTGAAGAGCCATGTGTTTTCTGCACACATCTTGAACGTATTTTTTCTTTTAATTTCTTGGGGTAGCGTGATGGGATGGATTGGATTGATCTGTTTCAGGATAGGGAACAGTGGCAGGCTTTTGTGATCATGGTAATGAACCTCCGGGTTCCATAAAATGCTGGGAAATTCTTGAGTAGCTGCATATTTGGCTACTCCTCAAGAATGGTTTGGCTCCATAAGTATTTTTTATTTATTGCTAGTGGAATGGGACTAAATCCCTTGTACTGTGGCCACTTCTGGCCTATTGTACCAGCCCCAGATGATACGTGAGGATGATTGTGGAGCAATTGGAGGAATGAAGATTGGCAGAGGAAACCGAAGTACTCTCAGAAAACCTGCCCCAGTGCCACTTTGTCCACCACAAATCCCACTTGACCAGACCCCAGGATTGAACCTGGGCCACGACGGTGGGAAGCCAGCGACTAACCGCTTCAGCTCCATAAGTAAGTAAGGGTGAGACAGTCCACTTGGTACATTGGCCATTATTTGGCCCACTGTACAACCCCAAATGAGAAAAGTGATGATTATGGAGTAATAGTCGTAACTCACTACATATTGTCACGTGATTTAGTGACTGTAGACAGGGTTTGGCTTGGTAATAGGATTTACTGAACTCTTACACTTTGAAACAGCACATGACTACACCTTACACTTCACTATTGTACAAACACACCACACACTAGTGTCCACAGTCACATCTTACTGCTTGGTAGCAGCTACCAACAGCAGACATTCTCCTTCCTCTATGGGTTCCATACTGCCCCCGGCCTCAGCTCCCAGCTTCTGACAGCAACAGCTCACAACAGTCCTCATGAACTCACCAACCAACTCAACTCAACTAACTCTTTCCAAAGTCAAAATTAAGTTATGTTACAACCGACAGTCAGGCGGCCAGTCTATCTTGGTGTCAGTGGCCCGTTTGGGGCCCAAGCCAGATATTTTATTACTGTCAGTTTCAGGTTTGTTCATGTGGGGCGCCCTCTCTAGCAAGAGGACAGTTCTGTCATTTACAATTGCTGCCGGTCCTCACCAGTGCAGTTATTCTTGTGTCCGAGTCTTACAGAACTCATGACCATATTGTACTGTCTCAGATTTGAACTCTCCCAACCTCTAACTCTCTCCACTAACTTTTCCTGCTTATAATCATTTTGTCATGGACCACACAGAAAACACCATTCCTCTATTGCAGTGCAGCTGTTGCCGTGGAAATATGGTTGTTTGCAGGGCCGTTACTTAGTAACGGCTGTTGTATAGTTGCTTATTTCGTGGTTATTGCCTAGCAACAGGTCTACATGCCCTAATACTTATCTCAGCAAAAACGATTTCAAACAAGAAGTTACAGTAATTATGTAGTCGATGCAGAAGTCCTACTGTTTCAGAATTATAAAACAAATGGGAATTAACATTCCAGGAATGTTACCCTATATGTGCAGACCTAACTTTTGCTGTATTATTTAATGATGCTGTGAGTAGCTCTGATTATATAAAGTCTGTAAATAATGAATTGGGAAGAATTTTGAAATGCATATGATTTATGTAAGATTGTCTGTTTTTACCGGCTCTCACGGTCTCTTCGCTTGTGGATTTCTTATATTTTTTCTTCTACCCTGAAGATGGAGGCGATACGTTCCTCCGAAACGTCGGTTAACACCACATATACACGGTGCCAAATCCCAGAAGACTGCTTTCTTCACATATGATTTAATTTAAGAGACCATCCTGGCACTTCTCTCGAGAGACCACAAGAAACCTCAATCTGGGTAGCTGGTGTCCCAGCCAAGATTCAAACCACTCACCTCCCTAATGCAAATAAGAAATGATACCATTTGAGTTCACTTGCTTGTGAAATCTTACTACTGCTTGTTAAGTGATGAACCTAGTATTATCATATCAGTGTATAGGATATGAGGTTCTTGCAGCTGTGATTGTGAAGAGTACCATCTTCTGGGATATGACACCATGTAGTCTGTTGAAAGTCAACTGACATTTCGGAAGAACATATTGCCTCTGCTTGCCACCTACTTTCACCCTGAAGATGGAGGCGATATTTTCCTCCAAAACGTCAGCTGACTTTCAACAGACTACATGGTGTTATACCCCAGAAGATGGTACTGTTCATGTCTTGCTGCTGTCTGTATTGCCAACACATAGCTAAACTTCATATTGCTTACTATGATACAACTGTTAGCACATCATAAACAGTGAAGTTATTTCATATTGATAGTGCTGAAGGACATCCAGAATGATGTCTAAAATAAGAGATCAAAGGACCCACTTGGTATTACCACCTGACATTTGGCCCACCTAATGTGGGATGGCAGGTTAACTCTTCAAATTTTGAAATATTTCTGATATTTCTGGAAGAATATAAAGATAAATGGAATTAATGACAGGACAAAATGCAAGAACCCCAACTGAACCTACATAAATACATGAAATGACCAGACCTCATGGCTGTGCACAGTGAGATCTTGATATCAGCCTTCTTGCTATTTCACAGCTTTCAAATGTACATATATGCCACTCTTGCTTTCCTAAGGAGGGTAGGAGATAATCTCCATCTCCAGGGAATAGTAAAGAATAACTTAATCTTCTTACAGAATAACAGAGTACATGCATGAAAGTCCTTTGTGTTATTTTATCAAAAGGAGATTTAAAATGTAAAGATGTACTTGGTGCTTGTGCTAGTCAGAGATCAATAACTGTGGGAGTTGAGAAACTCTTTTTAAGACATATAGATAGGCATGTGGAAGAGAGAGGCATTATTCTTTGCATCACTAGAGATTTAAAGCTTTGTATTTTGCTACAAATGTTGATGTACTGTGAAGTACAGAGGGTGAACAAAATTGTGGAAACACTAAGAAATTGAGCGCTAGAATTTGTGTTTCCTACATTAAAAGTTGGCAACAGTGAATGTTCTTGCATTTGTTTAAACTCTGTAGTGCTCATGTAAGTGCATTAGTGATTGTGTTGAGTGACAGTTCATGTGAAAGAATCGGAAAGTGGGAGACTTGTCCGATTTTGAAAGAGGACATATTGCTGGTGCATGTTTAGCTGGAGCATCTGTTACAAAACCTACCAAATTATTATGTGTATTGAGAGTGACAGTGCCTAAGGTTATGTCAGCATACATGAATCATAGGAAGACAACATCAGCAAAGAGGAGCAGTGGGCAAAAATCAATATTGACAGAAAAAAGATTGTAATACATTGAGAAGGATTGTCTTGAAAAATCACAGATCTGCTGCGGCGCAGGTGACAAAATGGCAGAACTGAATATTCATCTTGAAGTCAGTTTCCACTAAAACTGTCCAATGTGAACTGAGCTGCAGTTCCTAAACCTCTGATTACTAAAAGTAATGTGTAAACAATGATGACACAACCACAAACTGTGGACATGAGACAGCTGGAAACACATAATGTAGTCAGATAAGCTGTCCTTCATGCCGTTCCCTACATCAAGAAGAGTTTGCATTTGGAGAACACCCAAGGAAGCCTACAATTCAGAATGCCTGGTTCCAACAGTAAAACACTGGGAAGGTTCTGTGATTGTTTGGGCTGCAATAGCGTGGTATTCTGCTGGTCCAATTATTACCCTTCATGGCTGAATCACTGCAAGGGAGTACATGGATAGACTGGGTAAAGAGGTGCATCCCATGATCCAGATGTTATTTCCAAACAATGCACTTTTCCAAGATGATGTTGCCTCCATTCACAAACAGCTGGAACTGTTCAGTGATGGCTTGAAGAGCATGAAGGTGAACTTCAGTATCTTCCCTGGCCAGCACAATCACCACATTTTAACATAACTGAACCACTCTGCTCAGTTTTTGGAGACTAGAGTGAGGAACAGATTCCCACCTCCAACATCTCTATAGAAATGTTAAGATGCTCTTCAAGAAGAATGGTATAGAAATTCCACTAGAGACTGTTCAAAACTTGTACAAGTCCATTTCAAGGGCTGTAGGATTGTGTCTTTATTGAAGGCAAAAGTCCAACACCATATTAATAAAGAAATGTGTACAGTATGTGTATACCACATTTCATTCAAAGAAAATGCCATGGGAAAGTAAGTACAGAATAACCTAGATAAAATGAGGAACAGAAAAGTGCTGGTCAGGTTAAGCATATCATCAGGATTTCAGATTATTTTAAATTACTAAGATTATGTTTTTATTTTTTATTTATGGAAACCTCATATTTGTAACAAAGCTTTCTTACAAGCCATGCTTGCCCCTTGCCCTAGCCATCTCTGCCTTTACTTGTGTTTATAGTCTTCTCTCTTTTTGACGGCATTATTC